CAGCAGTTGTCTTTGCTCCTGAAAACTACATCTGGCTATATATGTTCACTGTCTGCGAGTCTGTTGACTTAAAATTGGAAACCTCATTACTCACGGGAGGCTGGACTTGCTCCACATCTTGTCATTACAAACCCACTTAAGAGCTCAGTAATTACAATAATTATTATAAAATGCCTTTGAAAATAAAGTGTATAAACAAAAGGCAAGAAAAAAAATCACCTTACAAGTGAGGGATTTTTTTTTTTCTGGACGCCTTCACATTTTTACAAGCACAATTAATGAGAGATTCTAATAAATTAATTTTAAGGCAACTTCTCATTCTTCCTTACACACCTCTCTTATGTAGAAAGGATTATTACTCTTCCCCTTTCCCGCTGAGAGCTAAGAGAGATCCAGGGACGCATTAGGGGATGAAGCTGACTGCCTTCCCCAGAGTGCATCTCTGGCATGGGGGGAGAAGAGAGATCCCTTCCTGTTTCCCACGGCCATCTTCTCTCAGTAGATGGCTGAAGCTGCCTTCCTCCTACTGACCCCCTTGGCTGGCCGTGCCCCTTCCTTGCCAATCCAGGGTGAGCTCCTCTAAGCCACATCACCTCCTCTGGCTTCCTCACTGTCCAGAGGCCAGGGTCTGACTTTCCCCATCTCCATCTCCCCTCCCCTTGCTCTCTGGGCTTCAGGCACATTGGACTTCTTGGGAGAATCTCATATTGGCCTCCACAGGTGGTTTCCTCTGCCTGGAACAACATCCCCACACTCCCTGACTCCTTCACCTCTACCTGGAGCCTTCAGATCTCAAGAGACTTCCCTGACTCTCTCCCTCAGGTCCTAAGTCCCCTGCACACATGGGTCATGTAATCTCCTTCAGTGACTTTTATGATCATCTACTCCTATTAACTCATCTTGTTAAGCCAACCCATGAATTAGGTACCACTGATACTCCTGTCTTAGGGATGAGAAAACAAATACAGAGAGGTTTAGGAGTTTGCTGTGGCTACGATTTAGATCTGCTGTGTAGTACAAACTCAGCAGCTGTGCGTTGAAGGAGTGCACGAGAGAGGGACTGAAACAGTAGAGGAAGAGAGGAGAGGTCACAAAGAAAAGGCCTTAAGGGACGGAGATACTTTTCAAGGCAGTGATGGATGGAGAAGTGGACCATGAGAGACCAAGAATGTTAGAAACAATTAAAAGTAAAGAGCCAGGCGCCGTGGCACATGCCTGTAATTCCAGTGGCTCTGGGAGGCTGAGACAGGAGGATCCCGAGGTTAAACCCAGTCTCAGCAAAAAGTGAGGTGCTAAACAACTCAGTGTAGACCCTGTCTCTAAATAAAATACAAAAAATAGGGCTGGGGATGTGGCTCGTGGTCCTGAGTTCAATTCCTGGTACCCCCTCCCCGCCAAAAAAGTAAAGAGCCAAAGATCTCATCTCCAGAAAGTAACTTCTACACCCACCCCTTTGCCAAGCTGTGTAGGCCAAGATGGTGGCTAAAACCCAAATATTTTTATACCCTGCCCCAAACCGGAGCATGCGCATAACATGTATCCTTACTTGGCTCCTCCCCTTAGGTCAGGCGCAGGGTCTCCTTTCCTACTCCTTGGGCATGCGCCCTGGTTCCCTCCCAGTGCCTTCTCACACAGCCACACCACACCATTTGTTTAGCGCCTGCGCTCACCTGTCACGATGTGCGTGGCTCCCACAAGGCGTGCCCCTTCCTCCAGCGCTCGGCGACGCAGGACCCCGCAGAAGGTGCAGCAGGAGCGGCTGCGGCCAGAGCCAGCTGTACTGCGGGCCACCGCATCCATTGTCCAGCCCCCAAAGAGGTCTTCGTAGGCCACGACAGTGAGTGGCAGCTCCCAGCGCGCTGCCTGGTGCCTAACAGCTGCCAGCGCCGCATCCCGGTAGCCGCCGATGCCCTCATCCACGGCCACAAGGTGCAGTGAGATGTCCAGCTGGGGTGCCAGTGCGCGCAGGACATGCGCGAGCACAGTGGAGTCTTTGCCACCCGAGGCACCCACGGCCACCACAGCGCCGCGTGGTAGCAGGCGGCCAGCGAGCACCGTGTGCAGCACCTCGGCCTCGAAGGCATTGCAGAAGCATGTACCACACAGCGCCTGCCCTGAGCGCGGGCGCCGGAGGTTTGCCCGAGCCGTGTGGCAGGAGGCGCACGTTGGGGCGGGCATCGCGGAGTTGGCTTCTCCTGGAAGGGAGAAATGGGTTACGTGTGGAGTCTGGATGGTGGGGGGCTGCCTGGACAGCGTCCATGCTTGGGATGGACTAGGCACAGGTGTACACAGGAGGGAACTTCTTCCAGAGTTGGGGACAGGAGAGTTACACTTGAGTTCCTAGCTAAGGGAGACCACTGCCTCTGGAACTGCACTCAATATGCACCAAGAAGACCAAGGGGCCAAAGGAGGTGGTTTCAGGGGGAAAGAGAGAGATAGGTTATACTCAGAATTAGGTTGTGTCCCTTCTAGAGGGATGGGGTGCCTTTCAGGACCAGTTGCAGAGCCTCCCCTGTTACAGCCCTGATCAGAGGGGCCCGGTGGAGATCATCGACTGGCTGGCCCTCCAGGGCTGCTCAGAGTGCCTGAGAGGAGGTGCAGGACTCACAAGGACAGAGGGAGGTCAGGGCCTGCAGCTGTGTTGGAGGGAAGGTGGATAAACCTGAAAGACCAATTGGATTTCACTACTGGGGACGGGATACTGCCTCCAGGAATGGGTCCTGATCACTTCCTCTGAAAGGAAGAAGTCACCTCTAGAGACGGGCCGCAGCGATGGCACCTCTGTGGGGACCAGCTGGGGTTGCAGCTGTTTTAAGTGCACAAGCTTCTGTGGCCTCACAGAGAGATGGATCAGCCCATCCTAGGACCCTCTCTGTTCTCCCCTTTCCTGCATCATCCATCCCCACCCAGCCAAGACCCCAGCCCTCCAGTCACACTTCTCTTGACTGGAGAACCCCAAAATCTCAAGAGGCTCAGTCCCCTCACAAGCCACCCTGGTCTCCAGCTTGGACTACTACAGTAGCCTTCTCACCATTCAGAGGTCAGGCTGCTTCTAGGATGTATCAGAATGTTCAGAATTAGATTGTGATTGTATATTTACTCTCTGTACCATGAGGACAGGGACAAGTGCCACTGAGATACCAAGTAGGCATCTCAAACCCTAAATCCTGGATTCCTTTGAAATGAAAAGCAGCTTCTCCTGTAGTAAAGGGCAGCTCCACCCTTTCAGTTGCTCAGGACAGAATCTGAGATCTGCTCTGCGCTTTCTCTCACCACTTCTTGTCACTCTCCCTGTTGGTGGCTCAAAGCGGTGAAGTCAAGTCCTGACCTTTTCTTCATATGCACCAGGGGCACATCCTTGGCCTACAAAACCAGATATCCAAACAAAATACGGCAAATCCTGCATGACTACAGTTTCAGGACAGAGTCAGAAGCCACATGCTTCTCACCATCTCCCCAGCTGGGACCTTGGCCTGGGCCATCTCTCTCCTGGACTCCCTTCCTCGACCTCTCCTCCTCTGCACACGCTGTTTTCCTCATAATGTCTGGTGGAGACCTGCCCGGTACCTTCTCAGTGTCTTTCTGTGGATCTCATCTCACGCTAGCCAATGTTGATGGCCTATGAGACCCTACCCCATGTGGCTCCCTTTCTCTAACCTCACCTCCTCCCACTCTCCTTCAGCCACTCTGCCTCTACTCTCAAGGGTGTCAGGAACATGCCCCCCTCTGCCCAGAGTTCTTTTCCCTGTCACTGAACCCACTTAGCAGCCCTCAGGACTCGTGTTGTGACCATCAGGCAAGTGTCACAGCTGAAATCTTTTCTCCCCTGGTTGGACAATCTGGACTTGCTCCTCCTGCCAAGTTTCTTTTGGGGAGTCCTCTTCTTGCCCACAGGTCCTGCCCGCACACTTCCTCCCACTCTCCTTGTGAGGGGCTCTGAAAATGATTTAAATACCCAGATGTCTACCCACACTGGGCCTGCAAATGGCCCGTGAGGTTCCCCACTGGTGCACTTTTCAGACCCTCAGCCCCTAAGTGCCCCAAACCACCTGTTCTGTCCTCAGAGGGGTTCTCTGTCTCCTGAGAGCAGACATCTTCCAGCCTTTCTGTCACCCTGGACTCATCTCTCACCCTGTAAATCCACGGTCACCCAGTCCCGGTGGGGAGGGGTGTGCACATCCTGAGGGAGGGAGACCCTGGCAGGAGATGAGGCTGTGTGAGTTGGCAGAGCCTCATAAACCAGGATGTGGAGTTTTAGTTTTATTCAGGGATGCGATGTGACAGGTCTTAAAAGGTTTCCTTAGGCTGGTTCGAGGAAGAGTGTAAGGGGCAGAGACAGAAACAGGAGGCCACTGAGAAGGCTGTGAGACATGACGGAGGACTGCCTGGGGCTGGGGCTCAGAAAATATCTGTGGGATGAGGGCACAGTAAGGGTGACCAGACAGGCCACAGAACCCAAGGATGCCTCCGAAATGCAGCCTGGTCAGAAGGGCGGGTACTGTGCCATCCCGATCAGCACAGCTTCCAGGGCAGAGGAGGGGCCTTCGGTCGGACCCAGCTGGGGCAGAGACAGGGGCAGAGGCAGGGGCAGGGGCAGGAAGAAAGCCTTATCCTGACAAGAGGGACGGGGCGGCCTGGCAGTCAGGCATTGGAAATCGCGGAGGCAAGTGTCACACCCAGAGAGAGACCCTGAACCCTCCCACGGCACCGCAACACGGAGGTGGGGCTGGCGTGCCTTGCCGCCGCGGGAGGAACTCTCACCAGTGCAGAACGCCACGTCTGGAAGTGCCGCGCGCCTACCACGCTAAGCCCGGTGCGGAAGTGGCTCCGAGACTACAACTCCCACAAGGCCATGGTATTGCGGAACTAGGACTCCCAGAATGCAATAGTCTGCCCAGGAGCCTGTGGCTCTGGTGCCGCTCTACTAACGTTTTCCACCAACCCTTGCAGTCCGGGCTTCCGCTCTGCCTAACATTCCCATAATGCACTGCTCGGCTTCTCCTGTGCGCCTGCGCGCGGGCGGAACGCAGTGGTCTGTGGTGTCGCTGCGACAGAAGGTTGTCGCCGGTGGATCCCCTTGAGGCGAAACAGCTTTGTCCTGATTTCTTGGTTTTGTGCGACACTATAGGCTACAGAAACTATAGAACTTACGATTTGCACCCTTTGAGGTGGGGTTGCGGGGAAGGAGTGAAGGGGGTGCAGAGGCTGGGGACTTGTACGGGGCAGAACGCGCATACGCGGGGCGGAGTCTCGGAGGACGGGGACAGAGTGGGCCCGTGTTGGGGCGGGGATAGTGGTGCGTGTGCACAGGTGAACGTGGAGAGAGAGTTCCGATGGTGGGTGCAATTGAGCCCCCCCCCCCCAGCAGACCTTGCACTATCCTCTGGACCTGGGGTGGAGCTCGAGGGTGGAGGACGGTGGGTGAGACAGGTCTTGATGGGATCCCAAGATGCTGGAGACCCCAAACTGAGGGGTCCAAAGGCTTCCCTGGCCCGCCTTTCTCGAATCTCCGTCAGAACCTGAATCTTCCCTCACAGTTCCCAGATGGATGAGTGTTTCTCCCTGTGAGGACCCTGGCAGGGCTTCCCAGTGCCATCACGATAAAGCCACCTTCCTCAGACTGTACTGGAGCCCTGCCCACCTCCACCTCATCATGCCTTGCTCTCTGTAGGGTCATTAAAACAAATGATGCCTGGTAGAGGGGACAGTGGTCTGGCCCGTCCCTGCCAGGTCTCCGTCATTCTGTGGCCCTGGGGACTTTGGTCCTTGCAGTGTCATCTACATTTCTGAAGGTGGCCTCTGCACTGGCCCTGAGGGAGGAACTTGGGGATGCAGAAATGTAAAGTTATAGTGAGTCTCAAAAGAGAAGCACCCATGAGCCACTGGCCAAACAAGCCCTCCTGGGCCACCAACTCAGGTCCTCAGCCCCTGCCCTGTCTGCAAAGATGGACTCGAGGGCAATGTACAAGGGCCAGAGAAACAGCCCTGCTCTCCTCCTCTAGTGCAGTCCCTAACTACTGTCCCTGTGTAAATATGGACACCCCAGACCAAGGTGTTGCTGTTTCCCCCTGGAGATGGCCCATGCTCTCCCTTGAACGTGAATTCTTTTCTTTATTCCAGAAGCTTCTCACCCTCAAGATGGCCTGCATTCTGCCTTGAACGTGTGTCTGCTGTCATTAATAAATCAGTGTCTCTGACTGGTCCTCCACCCAGCAGCTTCAGGACCCGACTCCTTTCCCCAACCTCGAGAGTCGTCCTGGGGGCACTCCTTCCCTTATCCTTCAAATGACTAGAGCATCCATTGGAATCAGGGCCTGTGAGAGACCTTATGCTGTAGGACATGACTAAGCTGCACTCTGATTTCAGACCCAGAGAAACCATGAGATTTGAAATATGTGTAAGATCCATTGAGTCTTGTGGCATTTGTTTTACAGAGTAGATAATAAGGTGGTCATAGTGCGAGCATTGATGATTTTGAGCTTTTTCCACATGCAGAAAAGTACTTGGGACACTTCCAGGAGTCTTCTTATTTAGGATTGTGGCCAAAGTTCCTCTCTTATTAGAAGTTGCCCCTGGTGGCCCCAGGAGGAATCCTTTACTCTTGACTCAAGCTCCAAGACCACAGTAGTTAAGTGTGTCTGTGAAAGGAGTCTAGTGCATGGGTCCCAGACTTGTTGAAGGCCTGGGGTAGCTCTGGTTTTGTTACGGGGAGTGGGAGTGGGGAGAAGATGTGAGGGTCCTGAACCCAAAGGGGGGGAGTTGGGGCGCCACAGATGGTTCACTCCTAATCTTATCCTCTCTGAGGATCCAGAAGTTATAGCACTGAGGACCTTGACACTTTATGGCTCTGTATCAGGACCTCTGGGGACTGAGGACAGAGATGGGACAGCTCCTCTCATCCTCCAGCTGCTGCCCACTCCTTCCTTGGAAGCCCTGTCCGGAGGCTCTTGTCCATCTCTGGCCTTGTCCTGCTCCTCCCCCCAGGAGCCTTCTCTGAGTCTCCACACCTGCCCGGCCTCCCTTCTCCCTCATGGCCCCTGGTGGCTCTCACTCCTTTCTGTCCTTTCTCATCTGCAGGGAGCCTCAGAGGAGCACGTTTTCCCTCTTGGTGACGGAGCTGCCACCACTCCCCAGTGACAACCCTAGGAGTCCCTGGGGTCTCTCTCACCCACCACACCCCATGACCCGAGTCTTGCGAATGTCCCTTCCTGAACGTGACTCACTTCCTCTGCCAACATCCCCGTGGCCTCTACTCCTGGTCGGTTGTATTCACTTCCTCTTCTCAGCTTCACGCTGATCTCCTCCGCAGCCCCGACTCCCCTCTCTCCCACATGGGTCTTTCATATCGTCCACTCGGGGTTCTTTAAGAAGGGCCCCATCCCTCCCTTGCTCTCACCCTATGCAAGTCTTTAGCTGACACTTGAGCCCTGCTCAGCCTAGTTCCCTCATCGTCCTTCAGTGTCACCGTGCCTGGGTACCTCTGCGGTCATTACTAAATTCTCTGCCTTGTATGACCCATTTGTAAACACTGTCATGTGCAGCCTGGCTCTGGAGGGGACAAACCCTTAACAGCCCCTCTCCTTTATCTGCATCCACTCCTCACTGTCCGTTCCCAGGGCCAGTCTTTGCCCAATATTTGATGCTGGATGAAGGAATTTTTATGTAGTTTCCTTAGCAAGGATGGTGCTTGATATATCCTCCCGATAAGTAAGTGCTTTTGAAATCTAGAAAAATGATGCTACTGTTTACAGAAACTTCTCATCTGAGATCTTTGTTCTGACCCCAGCATTTTCCTGTCTGCCTTTCTGTCTTTAGTGTCAGTTTCAGTGCCCCTGTCCTGCCAGATGGTGAGTGTATAACAGGGATCAGGTATTTGGTGGCTCTCAGGGTGACTTGGTTAGTTTTACTGGTAGAACAAGCTCAGAGAAACTTCTGGCTCAGTGAAATCCCCCAGGAAGCAAAGCAGACCAGCTGGAGAACCTAGTGGTTTCTGGGAAGCAGGATGAGCCTGCTCCTTGTCCTGGGGAGACATTGTCTCATCCCCAGGGGTGCTCCCTGCAGGCACATCCTGAGAACGTGGGTAGACAAGTCAGTGCCTTGGGTTTTGGGGGTGCCACCAAGACGAGCACAACAGAGAGACTCCAGGGGGACCGCCCTCCGCAGCAGGTTGCCCCCCTCTTCTTAAAGGTGTGGGCGAGCTCAGAGGTCTTCCTTTCCCAGGAAGGACTCAAGACTGTCACGATGATCAACGTGTTAGCACCTAAATCTGGAGCATTTAGCCGTTTCCCAGAGGAGAACATAGTAAGGGGGAACCCATCACTCAGACCCACAGCTCTGATTTCTCTCCTCTTTCTTTGAGGAGGTTCAGAAAGGAGGTGACGGGAAGGCAGTGACACTGGAGGAAAGTCAGTCCTCTTTGGCACAAATCCATTGTCCTAAGCTTTAACAGAAACCAGCTTTGGTTACTTTCCCCAGCTCTTCCCTGGGCCTCTGGGGACGTGGGCTCCAGGAAGGTGGCGTGCTGGTGTCCTCTTTGCTCAGGTGGGAGATGGGCTGATGGATGCTGTTGAGGAGAAAATGATGGGGGGGAGGGGTACTGACAAGGTCTAATGGAGGTTTGAGGGGCGCTGATATTTGTTCTAGAAAGTCCTCCCGTTGCCAAGTGAGAAAGACCTGGAAAATGACATGCAGAAGTCATGAGGTCATCGCACGTTACTAAGGAGTTGGTGGAGACCATGAATTCCCAGCCTCACTGAGAGGTCAGTCATGTGCAGCACGCTTCTTCAAAACCAGGAGGACACGTGGAAAGCTGGATAATTACCAAGAAAGAGAAAATAGAAGACACAGACCACATCTCCAGAGGCTCCAGACGACGGAGAGAAGAAATGCCCAGACTCCGAAGACATAAGTGCACCAGGATGAGCAGGGCTGCTGGCTCTGGGGAGCAGGACCGGCTCTGATGGTGTCATAGACTGTACCTGTAGGAGGGCTGTCACAGAGCACAACCGACACTCAGGAAAGGGGGAAGCCATCTGGTCTCTCCTGGATCCCCTGAAACTGTTGAATTAGCATAAACTGCACCAGCAAAGTCTGGTGAGAAGCACCTTTTAAAGAACCCTGCTGGAAGACAGTCCTAAGGAAGAGTGACCCCACTTCTTGGTATTATGATGATCAATCTCTGGAATAGATGGCCCCCTCACCCATGAGCCCTTGTCACTCAGTTGTCCCCCTCTGTGCCCATGGCCCATCTCCCTGAATCCTTCTCTCTTCAGGTTTGGGATTTTCAATCTTAGGCCCCATGGGGTTTCCTGGAGACTCAGTGTTCCTAAAAGAGCAGGGACAACAGGAGAGTCCAAGATGGACCAGGAAGGGGACGGCAGCTGTCCAGATCCCAGCCCATGGACGAGGTCGGCTTGTTCCCAGATCCTTCCTGTCAGACAGGCCAGACCTTCCCGCCCACTCTCCTGGCCTGAGCTGGGTCCCCTCCCGTGGGCCCTGAGTCCTCTGCAGAGCTGGGTGGGTTTTAAGCCCAGGCCCCACCAACGCTGCTCAGCACCGTGGACAGCACCGCCCATGGCCTGGGACTGCCCAGGTCCCTGTCTTGGGAGGACAGTTTCACTGTGTGCCGAGTCACCTCCATGGGCCTCCAGACAGACGGGGTCAGGGTCAGGTTGGAAGGAGAAGGTTGACCACAGGTCAGAAAGAGCAGGGCGTTGGCAGCCATTTCCAGGTCCTCGCTCTGTATCTGGGAAAGTGACATCAGGCACCACGCACGCTGTGTTCTGGGGCTGGGTGAGTGGAGGAACTGTCCAGCTGGATGTCTCCTAGGAGTGGGGCCAGGACTCCAGGACCCTGAGAGCAATGGGGACCCCAGGGAGAGTTCAGGGATTGGGACACTGAGTGCCTGGTTCCTGGGGACAGACGTAGGAGAGGGACCCCAGACTCCACCTTCTGTCCTGACTCTGGCTGTAGACGGAGGGGGGCAGCATCCGTGGCCGCACCCCCCACACTGAGCAGGAACTTGCAACTCGTCCCAGACCTGCTCTCCCCGGCACCACCACCTTCAGTGACGTTCCAAGTACGAAGGAAAGGGTGGGTCTCTGCCACCCCATGGCAGGGCCAGGAGCCCGAGCTCACATGTGGGAAGGCTGGGGTCAGAGATGGGAAGTCCTTGTTCCCCTGCAGGCAGGTTCCTGTCCCACGACACCTTGATCAGCCCGTGATCAACTCAGGAGCTCTGCTGAAGTCCTCTCAGGTGTCACACGCTGAGCTTGGGGGAGCCTGGGTTGGGGGGCTGCAGGGCAGGGACCTCAGCACCCAGTGCTCTGAGGAGAGATGCTGGTGGGAATCCCAGGGGACTGTCCTCTGCCACCTGAACGTTCCCTTGGTAACACTGTAGTGTGATTACCCCACCCTGAGGCTCTGTTGCATTCTAGATTTGTTGTCCCCCCATAAATCTGTGGCTTTAATGGTCTGCCTCTGTGTCACCTACAGTGGGCACAGCCACCCCAGGGTTCTCAGGTTACAGATGTGAATGGGGGTCATGGGACGTTTGGGGACAGGAATCCCGTCCATGACAATATCTGATATCATGCAGACCGGCTCCTACTTGCTTTGTATGTCTATGTCATCTACTGTGACTAAAATGTGTCCCCTAAAGTCCACATAGGGAAATGTGGTCCAAAAGCCACAGGAATAGGGACCTTTGGGAGTTGAGTAGGATTAGATGAGTTCCTGGGCGTGGGGACCCCTGATGGCATTCGTGGCTTTGTCAGAAGAGACCTGGGCTGGAGGTTGCCCCACCCCACCCTGTGGTGCCCTCTGCCATGTTATGACACAGCAGGGAGCCCCCCCAGGGGAGAAGATGGGGCTCCACGCTCTTCATTGTGGAGCCTCCAGAGCCATGAGGCAAATGAACTTCTGCTCTTTATAAATCACCAGACTCAGCTGCTTCATTCTAGCATCAGAGAAGAGCCTGACTCTGTAGTGTCTGCCTGGCTCTCTCCCCTGCCTCCTCTCTCTCTCTCTCTCTCTCTCACACACACACACACACACTCACACATACACACACCCTAACCTAGGCACTGGGGATTCTGAGAGTACTGAGTTCTGAGATGGGCCTTACCCTGCCCTCTTTCCTGGGAGGATGGGGCACCTGTGAATAGGACCCTAGAGGTCAGGTCAGAGGTCCTAGGTCACTGTCTTGGTAAAAGTGAAATATTAGGGACGACATTTTCAATGGTTTTTTTGCATGTTGCTGTCCATTTCAGTCTCGGCCACTTGGGTCCACCTGGGCCACCAGTGCTTGCCCCAGCACTCAGTGATCCCTGCTCCCAGTGGCTGTCCCCAGTACCCTCCCTCTGGCCTGGAAGTTAGGAGCCATTGCGTCTCACCAGGGAGATGACCAACAGATCGTGGTGACCTGTGACCCATCCCTGTCATAGCCCAGCTTCCTGACCCTCCCAGCCCTGTGGCTGCTTCTCCTTCCGCCTGGTCCTGGGTCCACTTTAGCCTGGAGCATGTGGAGCAAAGGATTCTGGGAATGCAGTTCCCGCCTGGCCAGGCTGACCGAGTGCAAACCTCCAGAGGGTCTTCACACAGGGCTCCTCGTGGCCAGCTGAGAGCAGTCCTCTCAGATCAGTGAGCAGGAAGAGCAGCCCAGCTGCTGTCCCTCCTTCTCCCTCACTGTGCCCCCGTGGCCGGCTGTTCCAGGCAGGTACTGCTGCCCATCAGCCCCAGGACTCATGGGATTGTACGTCCCCTGCTGTGAGTGGGCGGGAGCCCGGCTGGGCACTGTGGTGGTGGTTGGCCCTGGGCTCTCTCAGGCAGCTGCACTGAGATGGTGGCCTCGGTCAGGGTGGGACATGTGACATCTTGGTGCCCCTCCATGTGGGTCTCTGTCCGCAGAGGGCCCAGGTGCCCAGGTGCCCAGGGATCCATGGGGTGGGGTGGAGGCTGCCTGACCGCCTCAGTCTCAGAACTTCTCAGCCTCCACGTTCTATGGGCCAGAGCAGCCATGGGCTCCATTCACCCCAAGAGGAGGGGCTGTGGGAATGGGAATAACCCTCTAGTGACCAAGGAACTCCTTGTTCTGTGGGTGGTGTCTGGGTTGTGTCTGGAGACTGCTTCCCACAGCTGCTCACCCACCTGCACACCAGCTGCCCCGTCCCCCTGCCAAGGACAATCCCCCTCTCAGTCAGGGGTGCAGGGAGGGTGAAATGGGCACAGAGCCAGCAGCCTGGTGTGGGCCATAGGGCATTCCTGAGGGTGGACAGGACTGAAGCAGAGATCTGTCCCCCTCCTGAGTGCCCCCTTCCAGGGGGACCTGGGCTCTCCCTGGCACACCTGACGTGCTGACCCCTGACTGCAGACTCTTGATCAGGCTCCTCCACAGAGCTGTGGGCATCTCCTGGGTCAGAACCCACTCTCATAGCACCACGGACAGCACCCCAAGGCCTCCCATCCCCAAGCCAGAGCCAGTCCTGAGCAGAGGCAGCGCCCACTCTGAGCAGCGCCCTTTTCCCTGCTGGGCAGAGTGGGAGTGGACACAGATGGAGCACAGACTCAGTGCTGGCTGAGGACTTCAGCAGAGGGGGCTTCAGAGGTGTGGGGAATTCAGCCAGGATTGCCTTTGTCTCAGCGTCCCCTGGGTAACCCATGTCCCTCAGTTCTGCCTGACGTCCCCACCATGTCGCCTCTGCCTGTTTCCCCTGAGAGTTCACCTTCCTCTCCAGAAGAGCAAGATCACCTGCCTATCTCAGCCACCTGCCCTGTGACACTGGCATTGTCTGGGGACTTGTGTGTCCCCAACCAGACGTTGCTGCCCCTCAAGGAAACCACTGGATCTGTCCTCTTCACCCCTCAGCTGCAGACCTCAGGGCCCAGTGTGAATGGGCACCACCTGGCTGTGGCATGAATGCAGCTTCTCCTTGTCCCCTGGACAGACTTGACAGTCCTTCCCTCCCCATCGGACGGGACTTCTCCTCCCCAGCCCAGTCAGCCCTGCTGGACAACGTTTGATGAGGTGGCTGCCCCAGACAAGAGGCAAGAGGGGACCCACTTGCCTTCTGAGTCCTTGGGCTGTGGGGGAGAGGCCATCAACTGGGGGCTTGTGAACAGCAGAGATTTGCTCCTCACAGTTCTGGAGGCTGGACGCCCACAGCCCAGGGGCTGGAAGATCCCATGTCTGGGGAGGCCAGTGTCCTCCTTGACCCTGCCTCCTCCTTGTGTCCTCCTGTGGCAGAAGGGCAAAGGAGCTCCCTTGGGTCCCTTCTGTAAGGGACACTAATCTCATTCATCAGGGCTCTGCTCCCTAGGACCAATCACTTCCCAAAGTCCCCACCTCCTGTGACCCTCCCCTTAGCAGTTAGGATGTCAACATGTGCATTTTGGAGGGACACAGCATTCAGAGCACAGCACTCTCCACTCTGACCTGGGTGTCTTCTTCTGAAATTGGGGAAGTGGAACAAGAGGGCTTCTCCAGCTCTCTCAGAAGTTCCTCTCTTACAAGCAGATTCTCTGTGGCTTCCCCAGGTCTCTCCTTCCTGTTCTTCCGTTTTTCTTTGTAAAACAGAAGGGCCATGACCTGCCCTTCTGACCAGTGGGCTCTGCAGTTGCTCCTGCTGGGAGGGTGTCTAGGCAGCGGGGGCCCTAGGAGGGCTGCAGGAAGGACTGGTAATGCAGGGAGTGGTGAGAGGGGCTGCGTGTGGAACCCCCCTCTACCCCAGCCATCACAGGGCATGACCCCACCCCAGGTTTTGGGAGCTGGTTCTGGAGATACCATGGAATGGACAGGTCCATGGGGCTGAGTGGATGAACACAGCCCAACTTTCTGTGTGCACAGAGTCTCAGAGGAAGCCATGGTGTTGGAGGGGGTGAGCTCAGATGGAGAACTGCAGAGGAAGGCCAGGGCTGCCCGAGGGGAGCAGGGGTGGCCACGGGGAGCAGGACAACGGTGGCCCTGGAGTGCTCCGGCGGCCTATCCTGGAGGGCACTCATTTGGCCCTCAATCACGGAGCTGTTGTTCTGGGGGCACATTTACCCACATGACACATCTTTCCCGTCTCCCCCCGAAAAAGGTTTAAGGAAACCCACCCGAGTCACAGGGCTCCCCCTCCCGGACCCCCATGACCTGCCCCAGCTGCAAATCACTATCCTCAGGCGCATGCTGCTGCTCATACGAAATCCTGGCCACCCCAGGGGGGACCGTCCACACTGGCATTTCGTGCTCTGTCCCTTCTGTTCCTTGGGACTCCTGGGGGCAGAGCCAACAAGCTCTGGAGGCCCCAGGTCCACATGCTCTGGAGTAACCAGGCAGCAGAGAGCATGGCGGTGAAGGAGTCCGTCCTGGTGGCTGGTGATTGAGGAGACGTTTCGCACCTTTTAAAATCTGCCTCTTCCCTTCCCACTGTCTTCCTGGCCAGTCCCTCCTCATGAGGCCTCAGCCTGGGTCTCTGTCCCTCAGGCCACCTGCCAGCTGGGTCCCTCTGCATCCTTGGTGTTTTACCATAGAGAACCCAGCCCTGTGTCTCCTCTGCACAGTCCCCTGAGACCAAAGTCCAGCCAGGGTGGGAGCAGCCCTCCATGCTGCCCGGTAGACCCCACCATGTCCCAAGTGCCTGTGGACTTATTGTCTGTCCCCAAGGTGGGGAGTCCTTGGGGACAGTGTCCAGGTCTGCTGTATAGAGACGGTGTCACACCATGTGGCTGCTGAGGGAGGCAGGAGAGGTGGCCTGCTCACCCCAATGGCCTCCCTTGTCTCCTTTACCCTGGGGTCACTAAGGGCTCTGGTTAGAGGAAGCCCATTGAGTGACATTGCAGAAAAGTCTCCCAAGAGGAAAGACGTCAACAGGGAGGGAGGAGACAGGGTGACACAGAAAGGGTCCCTTTCCTCTCTGTCCTCAGGGCTGCAGGCTGGATGTGGTGGTGGGGGCCATGGGCAGAGGCCACCCAGGCAGAGGCTGGCTGAGGCTCCTCCTCTAGGAGGCCACCGTCCCCTCCTGTCCCCTTCCCGTGGGCCTCCTCCTGTGGGCTCTTAGTTCCTCAGAGAGGAGCTCTGGGGGCAGACTTCCCCTGCGGCCCTGAGCCCTGGGCGACATGCTGCTGCTGCTGCTGCTGCTGCCCCTGCTGCAGGGCTGTGTGTGGGTGGAGGGCCAGGGGGGTTACGACCTGCAGGATTACACCCTGAAGGTGCCCAGGGAGGTGACAGTGCAGGAGGGCCTGTGTGTCCATGTGCCCTGCCAATTCTCCTACCCCTGGAGCCGCTGGACTAAAAGGGACCCAGCTCATGGCTACTGGTTCCGGGGACGGGACACAATGACGGATGCCCCAGTGGCCACCAACAACCGTGACAGGAAGGTGCGGAAGGAGACCCAGGGCCGCTTCCACCTCCTTGGGGACCCAAGAACCGACAACTGCTCCCTGAGCATCAGAGACGCCAGGAAGACAGACACGGGGACATACTACTTTCGGGTGGAGAGAGGAGGCTTGAGATACAATTACCTATATGACATGGTCTCAGTGCGTGTGACAGGTAAGGCACCAGGTCAAGGCAGCCTCAGGGAGGTCACAGGACAGGGCTGGGTGGGACCCTGCCCTGGGGGAGTTGGGGTCAGCATTAGGGGCTCAGGGAGCAGCTGGGTCAGAGCCTGAGCTTCTCTCAGGGCCCCCCCTCCCCCCTCCCTCCTGACCCTGCCTGTCCCCCTCTGCTCACCAGCCCTGACCCACACCCCTGACATCCTCGTCCCTGGGACCCTGGAGTCTGGCCGTCCCAGCAACCTGACCTGCTCTGTGCCCTGGGCCTGTGAGCAGGGGACGCCCCCCACCTTCTCCTGGGTAGGGCCCTCTGTGTCCTCCCTGGACCCCAGGACCACCCACTCCTCGGTGCTCACCCTCACCCCACGGCCCCAGGACCATGGCACCAACCTCACCTGCCAGGTGACCCTGCCTGGAGCCCGTGTGACCAGGACAAAGACCGTCCACCTGAACATCTCATGTGAGAGCTGGGCTGGGACACCTGGGTCTCTGATGGGGCTGGTCCCTGAGGGAGCAGGGAGAGGGGTCAGACCCTGGACACTGGGTGCTGGGTCCTGAAATCATGTGGGGGCTGGGCCAGGAGGATGCAGCCTCCACCCCTCCCCACCATGAGGCTCCTGGAACAGAGGGCTGATGTCCCCAGCCTCCCACTGACAGGTCTGCGCGTCTCCCTGCCCCAGACTCTCCACAGAACCTGACTGTAACTGTGTCCCGAGGAGCTGGCCCAGGTAGGGAGGGGCCTCGCTGGGGCTGGGGGGCAGGGCCTCTTCAGCTCAGGGCAGGTCTGGTCCCCCTCACCCTGGTGACAGAGCCCCTTATTGGGGAACCCATTGACCCCTCCCCACCTAAGCCCCACATGTGCCTTGAGCTCCTGTCCCCACCCTCCCAGGCTCCCTGGACTCCAGCACCTGCCCCTCACCCCCACAGGGACAGGGTGACACTCTCACAGCAGAACTGGGCTCCCAGGCCCCCTCCCAGCCTCCTCCTGGACCCGCCTCCAGCTTTGATCTAAGTGCTTGTGGGAGGAGGCACAGTCCAGGGCACACGCAGAACACGCCCAGCAGGCTGTCCCCAGAGCCTAGGTCCCTCCCAGTGTCCATGCAAGCTGAGCCTTGGACTGTGCACCTGAGGCCTGAGAGGTCACTGCATGTCAATAGCACTCAGGGTCCTCGTTCTCAGTGGTGAGGGTGTCCCACTGCCCAGATGGGCCCCGTTCTGTGGGCGTCCTCTGCCAACCAGCACTGAGTCCATTCAGCCCACAGGAGTGTGCAGTGGACGGTCCTGAGCCTCCGTCCACAGCTGGGTGTGCACGTCAGTGAGCTCAGCTCCTGAGCACAAAACACAGCTGTGCCACATGTTCTGGTCTAAGAGCTTGAGTCAATATAGCTGAAGGAGGTACAGGAAAACACATCCGTCACAGGAACATCAACTTGGCCATATTCCTGGGCCCAGGTCAAGGGTGTGTTTTCCTGTGCTTCATTCAGTTATGAGTGTGTGTGGGTCCCCTCTCTGGACTCCAGGGTTCTCTTTCCTTTGCTCTCTTTGTCACTCTGACCCTCTGTCTCTTTCTCCACAGAATCCACAACCCTGGGGAATGGCTCATCTCTTTCCGTCCTGGAGGGTCAATCTCTGCGTCTGCTCTGTGTCGTGGACAGCCGTCCCCCTGCCAGGCTGAGCTGGTCCTGGGGGAACCTGACCCTGTGTCCCTCGCAGACCATGGACCCTGGGGTGCTGGAGCTGTCTGCAGAGCACCTCAGGGGTGGAGGGGAATTCACCTGCCGTGCGCAGAACCCACTGGGCTCCCAGCACATCTCCCTGAGCCTGTCACCGCAGAGTGAGTGTCACAGTGGGCTGGTGAGGGCCAGGAGGAGGGGACACCACCCGCCCCACACCAGTCCCTGCAGCCACCTCCTTGGCTTGAGAGGGAAGCTCATCTCTGTCCTGCCCTCAGCTGGGGGCCTGGGACCCAGAGCCTCGCTGTCCTCTCCCTGCTGGGCCAAGGGGTGGTGGGTGGATCTTGGAGGCCAGGTGGGCCTTAGACAGGTGTGTCTGGGCAGCAGGGCCCTTGCTTTGTGGGCCAGGACTCGTGAGGCATTTGCCTTGGGCACAACATTTAGGATGAAGCCAGAAGCCAGGAGCCAAGAATAAAAGCAAACAAAACCCCCGTGAGAACAGAACCCGCCCAGACACTGAGCGAAAATAGTATCACGATGCAGTAATTAAAACAGTAAAAATGGATGCAAACCAATTCTATGGTGAACAAAATACCAAATTTTAATAACCACACGGCGCCCCCCCCCATCCTAGTTCTCCTGGTCTGGGAGAGGGACCAGGAAGGCTCAGTCCAGGGTCCTGCAGGGAGCCCCAGGGAAGGAGGAGGGATCCTGGGAGCTGACTCGGCAAAGGGATTCCCTCTGGTGCGTCCACAGGCAAAGCGGGGCCTCTATCCGGAGTGACGCGGGGGGCCCTCTGGGGCGCTGGAGCTACCTCCCTGCTCTTCCTGTCCTGCACCCTCCTCCTCCTCCTCGGGTGAGCGTTGGCGGGCGTCGGGGAGGCCGGGCAGCACCCTGGAGAGGAGGAGGGCGAGCTGGGCCCGGCCCTGAGCTGGAGGGACCTGGATGGCCGAGGGCGTGAAGCCAGGGCACCTGAGGTCCAGGTGGGCTCTGGGGGAGCCAGCCACGCAAGCCCACGTCCGAGCAAGGGGCTCCCGGGCTGTCCCCACTCTCGGAGGCCGGAGCCCGGAGCTGCCTTCCCAGTAGGAGCCTCCAGGACAGGGCTGTCCTCTCCCACTTGGCCGCCCTCCTGGGCTCAGCAAGAAGCAGGGGTGGGGCGGCCGTCTGCCCTCTGCGCCCCCCTGGCCCCACTGAGGGCTCCTTGGTGTCCCCATTCAGAGCGCGCTCCTACAGGAAGAGGTCCACCAGGCCAGTGGCAGGCTCAGGGGATACCAAGGCTGTCCAGGACCCGGCGGCCTCTCAGGTGAGTGACATGGGACATCCCCACACCTCCCGGAGATGTCCCCAGGACTGCTCTGCTGGGGGTGGCACGGCTGCTCTCCCCTCTTCCCCCAGGACAGCCGGCTGTCCAGCTGGATGCCCACACCGTGGGCTGCTGACAGCGCCCTCCTCCCTGCTTTCTCCCAGGCCAGGCCCGAGGGATCCCCCCCTCTTCTGCTGTCTCCTGTTAAGCCATTGTGTCACATCATGTCTCCTCAGAGCAGCGAGCACCAGCCCCCACACTCCCTGACCCCTTCATGGTTAGGGGCTGGGATCTCTTCCCTGGACCTGTTCACCTCCCGCCTCTGTCTCCCCTTCCACCTGGTGCCATCTTCCAGGCGCCCAGTGTCCACTTCCTCTGCACTTGAACATCGTCTGCAGGGCCAGACGGTAGACCCCTTGGCTGCTGACCCCCTGTCACTGTTGTGGCTGCTCAACTCTGCTACTGTGGCATGAGGATCTGCTGTGTCACGGGGTCTGTGCAAATGGTGAGCATGGCCCTGTGGCAAGGCTGACCCACAGGGAAAGTGAGCTCCTCAGCCCCTGGTGGCCCCCTACCTCCCATCAGGTCAGGAGCCTGGGGGAGCCAAGGAGCCCCTTGTCTTCAGTGAAAATTTAAGGGGTGCCAAGAAAATCTCAGGAATGGAGACAAATAGTGTTCTAATGAGCTGTCTTTTTTAAGCTCAAAATTAATGAAAGATCCATAATGAGCAAGATATCAAAAATGTAAATAGTGACAAAATTAGGTAACTAAAGTTAGTTAAGGTGACTTAAGGTTGTCATTCAGTCCAGAGACTTTGTGCAGCGTGGCCGCATTCCCCTGAACAGAAGGGAATCAAAGAGTAGGTTGTAAATACCGTCTCCCCATGTTCATCTCCAGCAGAGCCAGGAGGGACAATGACCTCAGGGCTGGTGGGGACATCAGATCCTCAACTTAGGAAAAGGCTGTGCTACATATTAATGAAACGTGATCATTTCAGTTATTTTAAAGTTCTCTAAAAAAGCTGACCATTAAAAATGTCACTAAAACATACAAACAGAGTGTTCCTCCAGTTGGCTCAGCTGACACTGTCACTAATGCTGGGTTTATTTTCCAGGAATTTTGGCATTAATTTCTATTTTTAGTATCTCTGCATTAAAATATTTATCTCAATTTCTGACATTTTTGACCCCCTTTTTAATTTTTCTCTCCTGGTGAGTCCCCAGCTCGCTCGCCTGGCCCTGTCCTCCCCACAGCCTGCTCCCGCCCCCCACACTGGGCTCCTCTGCAGGGGGCTTTCACTGTGGTCCCCCAGAACAGAACAAGGTCATTCGTGCCTCTGGGCCTGGGCCTGCCTGTTCCTCCCTCTCAGAGGCTCTTTGCAGTCCCACTATTCATTCCTGTCACCCTCCGTGCTCTAGGGACCTGTCACCCTCCTCCTTTGTGTTTTGTATCTAGAGCCTACTTTGGAGAGTTTGGGCAGCAAAGTAGCCTGCTCTGGAATTCCTTAACCCCTCAGGGGATGTCCCTGAGACCTACCAGGGACCAGCTGTGTAGGGGCCAGGGACCCATCTATGAGACACAGCAGCAAACCTGAGGCTCGGAGCTTCTCTTCTAGACAGAGGGATGCAGCAAGCCACCAAGCAAACAGATGGTGGGTGCATGGGCACAATGAGAGAGAGACTTACTCTGGGGAGGAAGGGTGCAGGACTGGGAGGGGCTGAGAGGTTCTGTTTTTTAGATCTGTCCTTGAGGGTGGAAAACCATGCAGCGTGAGTTTCACCATCTTAGCCGTGTTGAAGTTAGAGCTGGTCAGCAGATCCCTGGAGCACTTCATCTCCATCCATGAGCACAACCCGCTGCCCTCCTGGCCCCTCCCCCCACCCCGCCAGCCACCCTCCTACTCTCTGTCTCTAAGCCTTTGCCTCCTCTGGGGCCTCACTGAGGTGGACCTCTACAGGATTTGCCCTTTTGTGACTGGCTTATGTCATGCACACGTCCTCAAGGTTTGTCTGTGGTGTAGCATGTGACAGAAGGTCTTTCTTTTTAAGGGTGAATAATATTCCACCACATTTTCTTTGCCCATTTATCTGTTGATGGGCATTCTGGTTGCTTCTATTTGTCGGCTACTGTGAATAATGCACAGCTGTGTGAGCATCCTTTCAAGATTCTGTTTTCTAGTCTTCTGGATATGTGCCCATAACTAGGATTTCTGGATTATATAGTGTCCTTTTTTTAATTTTTGAGGAACTTCCTGTTTCTCAGAAGCTACACCATCTTACATGCACCAGAAGCGTACGAGGTTCCCATTTCTCAACATCCTTGGCCACACTGTTTTTTGTGTGTGTGTGGTTGTGTAATTTCCTATTATTTTCCTAATACTGTCCATCTAATGCATGTGAGGTGATAGTTCTCTGTGGTTCTGATTTGCATTTCTCTGATCACTAGTGACACTGAAGATTTTTGTGTGTGTGCTTCTGGGCCATTTCTGTGTCTTTTTGGAGAAATGTCTGGTCACGTTCTTTGCCCACTGTCTACTTGGGCTGTGTTTTGTGCTGACGTGCTGCAGGGTTCCTTCTGCAGCCTGGCTCTTGGGCCCTTATCAGATGGAAGGCTCTCCCAAGTTGCTTCCCATTGTGGCGAGGGCAGTGACGAGGGGGCTCTGGAGTCTGTGGTGTGAGGGTTCCAGGCAGAGGGAGCAGTGGGTGCAGTTACTCCAACAGGAGGCTGCCCAGGGGTGAGGGCAGGGCCTGGGCTCTACAGAGGGAGGCAGGTGACCCCAGGAGGTCAGCTGGGAGAGGCTGAGCTTATGCAAATCCCCTCTGCTGTGGGGCTGTGCAGGGTCTGCAGGCCTGAGCAGCAGGAGGGTGTCCTCTGGCTGCTGTGTGCAAGAAGACCCTGTGTATGTGTGTGTGGTGTGTGTGTGCACGTGTGTGTATGTGTGTGTGTGAAGGAGAGACCGTGTGTGTGTGTGAGTGTGCGTGTGTGTGTGGTGGGGGGCAGGTGTGTGTTGGGGGGGGCAGAGGCCGGAGGTTATAAAGGAGGCTGGGAGGCATTGCCAGGCAGGAGGTCATGCTGGCTGGAACCTTGACTGGCCTCTGGCTGGCTCCTGAGGTCAGCTGAGTGGGGCCACTATGGACAGGGAACGGGGACTGAGTGACAGGATCCAGGATGCGTGACTCCCAGACATTTGCCCTGAGCAGTCAGAATGGAGGCGCCAACCACTGAGGTCCAGATGAGGTAGGAGGAGGGGACTTGGGGGAGGGAAGGAGGAGTTTTGTTGAAATAGGTTTTAGTTTCTGGACAAGGGAGGGGTTCCGAGTACTGACAGCCCCTACTCACAGTGTTTCCATGGACGACTTCTCAACTTTACGAACATGCAAAGCAGCACCCACTCAGAGAAGCCACATTTCAGATTTAGCATGTTGACCTTCTCCGGGACCAGGGGTGGGTGGTACATGACATTCTGTGGCCCTGGGCAGGGGCAGCGTCCCCCACAAGCCACACCGGAGGTAGGCCAGCGCGGTGTTGAGTGGCTCCGCGGCTGTTCAAACTTGCTACAAAACAGACTTTGCGTGAGAGCTCTCCCAGTGCCAGGCTCACGTGAGTGTGGTGAGCGTGCTTAAAGGTCGGGGAGGTAAACTGGTGCTCCTGGGCCGTCCATGCACTAAGCCCACTTTTGACCTTGACCTTGTTAGTTATGTAGGTTTATTGGCTGTAACTTGAGGAGCGTCTGCACACTGTTGGCCCGACTCTGTGGTCCGGAGGGGGAGCGGGAGGAGGGCTTGCACGTCACAGCTGTTGATGGTGAGGGGCCGTGGGGACTGACCGTGACCACCAAGGGACGTTGCAGAGAAGACTCTGAGGTTCAGGGATCAGGAGGTGTGGACAGGACAGAGGGCTGCCAGGGCGGTGGATGGGCCTGGAGATGTCCCGTAGCTCAGTGCAGAGGGCCTCTGTGTGGGGAAGGTGTGCGGCTGTGTCCTCGGCTTCTGCAGAGTCCGGGAGGAGCAGGGCTCGGGGCCTCAGGGTGGAGAAGCAGCTTGAGTGTGAATCCTCAGAGAATCAGGAGGCAGGGGGAGGAGCCAAGTCACGGTCAGCTCTGTGGCGCCATCTGCTGTCCAGGGTGGGCAGAGAAAGGCCTAAGATGAAGGGGACCCCTGGGGGAACCCCTTGGCTCTCTGCTGCCTGACCTGCTCTATTAGCTTCCCGCTGCTGCTGTAAGACTCGCCACAGATTTAGTGACTTCAAACAAAAATACGTGTCACCTTACCATTCGGGAGGTCACATGTCCAAAATGGGTTTCCCGGGAATAAAGTCAGGGAGCGGGCGCTGGTCCCCGGGAGGCTCTGGAAGATGATGTTTTCTTGCTTTTGTGTCTTGGGGGCCTGGGGACCTGGGCGGGGGCGGGGCCTCTCTCCATCTGCAGAGCCAGCAGCATCGTCCAGTCCCTCGCGTCCCCCCACCCTCACTGAAGAGTCCCTCGTGACTACACTGGGCTCGCCCACAAACCTAGGATCCCTCTGCACCTCCACATCCTGGACTTAATTCCACCTGCAAAGTCTCTCTCACAAGGAAATGTATTTGCAGGTTCCAGGGACTCACATGAGGACATTTGGGGGTCCTTTTTCTTCCTGTTGGAGGGATACCATTTCTTTGGCTGGCTCCTGCCCCAGACCCGTCAGGCTGTAAGCATCTTGGGGCGGGCGCCATGTCTGGTCCAGGCACAGACTCTCCCAGGTGCCCTGTTCCTGCCCATCTTGTCATAATGCACGATTGGATTTTTGGTTTTTGATTAGTCCTTATTGTGACCACCGTCCATTAAGGAATGAGCTGCAAGAGGCCAGGCCTAGGTCTGTTGAGTCCACCAGGGTGCACCGAGCACCCAGCTTAGGATCTGGCACCGGGGCCCTCAGGAGGACACTGGGCTTTGGGTCAGGAAGAAACAGATGAGACCCTGATTTTACCTGGGAGTTTGGGTGTGCTGCGTCCCTACTTCAACCTCGGTTTTCACTTCTATGAAATGGAGACGAAATAATACCTCCCCCATGGAGCTATTGGGGGAAGTTCACGAGGCTTGGTGCGCGTGGAGCATTCGGTGCTTGAGGAAGTGTGCATGAGGGACAGTTCAACACTGGTGCACAAGGCTGTGTGGATGAAGGACACACGGGCACCCCTGCAGCCCTGGCCTCCTCCCCACTGTCCACCCTGACTCTCTCCTCTCTCTCCACTCAGAGCCGCCTGGTTGAGTCCCAGGCAAAGGAACGCTCCCCAGATCCAGGTCCCCTGGCCGTGGCCACCCGCCCCTCAGAGGATGAGGAGATCCTTTATGCAGCCCTCAGGTTTCATGAGGTGAAGGCCAGCGACCCACAGGGAGAGCAGGCCCCCGACAGTGAGTACGCGGAGATCCACATCCAGCCATGAGAGACTGAGACCGGCCCCGGCTCAAGGAGGCGCAGCCTCTTCCAGGGCAAGGAAAAGTCAGGTCCCTGCAGAGGGACGCCTCTAGGTCCTGGCGCCACGCACAACTGGAACCCAGACCTATTCCCAGCTGCGCTCCGTGCTGTGGCCACCTCCTCTCTCCCCGCCACCTGCCCACCCAGGGCCTCCGCTCTCCTCTCGCTCCTGAGCTCAACTCTTTCTGACTCCACTGCAGTGAGATCCTGCTGTGCTTCTCTCTGGGCCTGTGTCATCCACCACACTGTCCTGCAGGTCACCCAGGTGTCCCCAAGGACAGAACATCACACTGTATATTGCAAGAGAGGAGTGTGGTTGGTGGTGCTGGGGATGGACCCCAGGGCCCTGTGCCCGTGAGGCAAGCACTCTACCAACTGGGCCATGTCCCCGGGCCTCAAGGGAGGATTTTCAATGTCCTCACCACAAGGGAATGAAGGGTGTCACAGGTGATGGATGGCTGATTGGCCCAGTGTGTCAGTCCTCAGGGTATGAAGCTATTGAACATCACATTGTCCCCGATAAATGCACACAGTTACCATTTGTACATTAACACAAATAAAACTTTACAAAGCCCTACAGGTGAGGAATTGAGGGGCAGAAAGTCTCTCTGGGGGCTCCTCCTCTGGAGGCAGCAGTGGGCACCTGCCTGTGCCCTTGGCCCCCACGTGGCCATTCCACAGCTTTCCAGGAAGTGACCGTGCCTTAGGGTCAGGCCTGCGCAGCTCTGGCCCGGCCTCCTTCCCTCCTTCTGGCCTTGGCCTCCCGGCTCCCCTTACCTGTCACCTGCATGCAGTCGGGGGCCATCGACACAGGGAGCTCTCTCTGCTCGCAGCTCACCGTGGCTCCCTGGTCCCGAGTGGCCCATCCCAGCCTCCTGCGGCCTCCCTCCACGCCCTCTGGGTCCTCACTGCTGCCCACGCCTCCCCTGGCCTTTCTCAGCCCTTTTCCGTTGGCCCCATGACGCATCCTTTGGTCCCTGGACACTGGGTCCCCCCTCGAAGGCTGTCCTCCTGGTGTCCTATTCCTGTGAGCGTGGAGCTCCAGGGGTGGAGCTGAGAGGGAGGAAGCAGCCATGGTCTCCCCCCTCCAGGGCCAAACCAGGGAGTGAGAAAAGTGTCCCACAGTTTGAGGGTTATCCCCAGAATGAACCAATGACCTAAAGTCTTACCGACACACGTCACCCCAACAAGGGAAGGAATGGATCATGGCAGTCACTTCACAAGTAGGCGGGAAGGCAAGGACCCGAGGACTAGAGGGAGCACTCAAAGCCCTAAACCTGGTCCAGCCCATTCACAGCAGCATCACAAATATCAAGAGACAATGTAAGATGACCACCCCACAGTGCAGATGAAGAGACTGAGGTTCAGAGAGGCTATGCTGCTGTCTCAGGGTTCCTGCGCTGCTTGGGGCAGGGCTGGAGTTGGAACTTCAGCCTGATTCCGAGGTCTCTTCCTGTCTGACATGGAAGGAGGCAGAGGGGCCACATGTGCAGGAGACAACATTCCTTGGTGCTTCTCAGGGAGACAGGCAGCTGCCAAGGTGAACCTGGAGACTCCTACCCACCCTCTGAGCTGCTCTTAGTCCTCCCCCGCCATTGTTTGTTTGTTTGTTTATTAAATCACAGGTTGTCCTTTCCCCTGAGATGTCCACCTTTGATTGAGTCAGCCTGGTGATTACAGGACGCTTGGGGGTGGCCTGGTCAACCTCAGGGTCCTCAGGCTGACGTGGTCCATTACCTGATCAATAGATAATGCTGGGAAGTCCCCTAAATCATAGGTCCCTCAGAATCGGCATCTCCTGGCCTGATCTGCTAATTAACAGGGCACAAGGTCGAGCTGTAGATCTGGGGTTGGCTGGCCCGGGAGGGAGATGGCCTGGGAGTGACCTCCTGGGACAGTGGGTGGAGCCCAGGGGTCAGGACCTCACTCCTGCCCTTTGGGACCCTCTGCTCCCTGCGCGTCTGTCCTGTCCCACCTCCCGGGCTGTGCCCACGGGCAGCGCAGGGAGCAGTTTGCGCTGTGTTCTGAGACTCATGCCACCGTGAGCAGCATGTCTGTCCCTTTGTGTGGCCAGAGGGTCCCCTGGACGAGTCCACCCCGGCTCACTCACTCCCGTGCTCTTCCTCGGGGTGTGAGGGTGGCTTCAGTCAGGGGTGTATGGAGACAGCGGCTGTGACCCTGTGTCCAGTGCTGTGGGGGGCAGGGCCACCATGGAGGCCATGACAGCAGAGTCCAGGGCTCCAGGGGTCCTCCCAAGTCCATGGGGACCACCAGGAGGGAGGGAGGGAGTGGAGAGGGCTTGGGGAGCATCAGGGTGTCTCGTCATCCTGCTCACTGACACACACAGCTGTGGGTTGCAGCCGCCCCCAGAGACGGGAGTTCAAGTCCTGAGCCAGGCTGTGAACGTGACTTGGGAAGGAGGGTCCCCGCCCTGTCATCAGGTTAATATGAGGTCCTGCTGGATTCGAGTGACCCTAGACCCAGTGCCTAGTGTCCTTATCCCAGGAGAAACTTTGGCAGTGACCACAGAGTCCCATGTCCAGGCTCCAGGCTCCAGGGCCCTTTGGACAGAGACACAGGGAAGCGGCCACGTGGACATGGAGGGCAGGATGGACCGCAGCAACCCCGGAGCTGGAAGAAGCAGGCGGAGTCTTTCTAGAGACTTCAGAGGAGCGTGGCCAGCCACCCGTGAACTCAGACCTGGCCTCCACAGGGAGTCTGGGGCCGCCTCCCCGGGGCCTCCCTGGCCAGGCCCTGTCCTAGCTGCTGTCTTGCAGTACCCTGTGAAGGGGTGTCTGTCAGGCAGCCCCCGAGGGCAGGGACCCCTGAGCTGGCCAGGCGGCCGGCACATGCCTGGGATTGGCCGCTGAGGAGTGTCTGCCCCCTCCCTCCTTCCCATCTCCTTCCCCTGAGTCTTTGTCCCTTTGTGGTGCCATGTGATCAGCACACTGAGTTAGACCTTTGGGGACATTCAAAGACAGCTCAGAAGAGCCCCGATGTCGTATCATGGACCCTGAGCTCAGGGCTCCTTAACTGCTCCAACTTTATTGAAGGACCCCAAGGCCCCAGGCCCAACATTAGGAAAACTAACCCCTGTGCCCTGAAGCTGCAAGATGTTCCATATAGATAACCCCGGAAGGGCCAAACTTGAGCAAACAGGGTAAAAACAGGAACTAAAAGGACAGGATGCAATTTTATGGTTTTTCTGAGAACTAAAGTGGGAAAACAAGTTTACCCCCCTAGGTGACTCAACTGCTGAATTCAGAGGGACCAATAGGAAGGCTGTTGCTGTGCTAAGCTAAGACCTAACCCACCTGTTCCCTATAAAAGATCTATACCCCAAAGCCCGGTGTGCCAGTTCACCGAAGCTCCGGCTGAGGTTTTGCTGTGCACCCGCAGGCGCCTGTGTGAGAATAAACGCCTCCTGCTTTTTGCAGCCAGTGTCTCGTGTGGTTCATTCCGGGTTTGGGATCTGTGGATATTTCATTGTGGAGGCCCCACCGAGATCCAAGATCCCGGTTCCGGTTCCGATCCCGGTCCCTATCCGGAGGACACCCGACATCACTGGGAGGTAAGCTGGCCAGCTCAAACTGACTGTCTTGTTGTCCTGTTGGTTATCTGTTCTTTGTTCCGCGCAGCGTCTGTAAGACTATATGATCCTAGGCATAGTCATTTAGTATTCTGAGTATTCTGAGGCAGTTCTGTCATTTAGTATTCTGAGGCAGCTTGAGAAGGAGTTGACGAACTCGGACTTCTCCCCTGCCACCCTGGGAGACGTCCCAGGGATCAGAAGGGTCCATTTCTTTGGGGCCCCCGGTGTTTCCGAGGGTTACACCATTTTTGTAGGCGACAAAGAAGTACAAACTTCTCCCAGGCCATCTGATTTGTTCGGTTTCCACCGAAGCCGCGCAGCGATCTCACTGTTTGGTTTCGTTTTTGTGTCATTGTGTCTGTCTCTCTATTTCCTCTCTGAGAGTAACATGGGACAATCACTAACAACCCCTTTGAGCCTAACTCTAGATCATTGGCAAGACGTTCAAGATCGGGCAGACAACCTGTCCGTGGCAGTCAAAAAAAAAAAAAAAATGGGTAACACTCTGTACCACGGAGTGGCCAATATTGGCCCACCCTCGAAGTTAAATGGCCCCCAGGAGAGTCCCTCCATCTCTCTCTCTAATTTGCAAAGTCAGAGATTGTCTTTCAGCCGGGGCCGCATGGCCATCCAGATCATGGCTTTTAACCTTTCAGGACCTCTGCGAATCCCCTCCTGCATGGGTGGGATCCACGCAGTCCGCCGGGAGGATTCCACCCGTCCCGTCCCTGTTCCTCCCGGCCCCTCCACCCCAGGAAGCGAACGGGTCTTCCTGGAGTCGGGCTGCTTGGAAATGCAGCCCAAGGCGGATGATAAATTCCATCTAAGGCTGAATACTGAGACTAGGGAAGCAATGTTTTCTTCCCCCCCCATAACCGGCTTGAGTGCAAATAGAGATGCCTGCTGGGGATTTAACAACTTTGACATCTCGCTTTGACTTTTCTCAAAGCCCTGTCCTCATTATTAAATTAATGTTAATTAACTTTAGAGATGGGAACCAAATTTTCAGTCACAAATTTTGACACTCTCAAGGGGACTTTTAAGGAGTTCCCACTCTGCTTTCTTGGGGAAGCCTAGCACTCGAAACAACTGCAAGCAGAGGATGGACTTTTTGGGAGCTGGCTACTAAAAAGTTAAAAAAAAAAAAAAATACCTAAACTAGAGGAACTGATCCTGTGGGTGAAAGATAGGATTAAGGGACTCCCAGCAGCTGCCAGAGCCATTTAGCTCTGGGGAGTTCCCTGGGTCCTTATCTACATCTTAAGGATCTGTTTACTTAACCTCTGTTTACTTAAAAAGAAAGGACACTGAATGCAGTAAAGCCAGTCACACTGAGACCCTTGATTTTACACCTATAGTTGCCCCTACGTGAAAACATCTGGTCCACTCATAGGAAAATCTATGGTGCCACTGATGGGAGTCATAATTAAATGAAAGTTCAAAACCTGGAGAGATATTTTCTTATCTGGTTGTCTAATTGTTTCTTAGGGATAATCTAGGTTAAATATGTGTCTAAAAAATAAATAATAATAATTTTTATTGTAACAATCTGGTATCTGAATGGGTTTCTAAAGCATTGCACTATCTTGCAGTTAAAAGTTGGGTTTAAACAATTGTTTAGTTTGATTTCAGATAGTTCATGCTAGAAAACTTAAATACTTGGGATAAAAAATTTTAAAAGTTTCAATTTTGAACTGGGTAGCCTGAAAAAAAAAAATTAAAAATAGATCCAAATATCTTTAATTCACGTGATTCAAACGGTTCAATTTAGATTGGGTAAACAGATAAAAGTAAAAATGTCCTCAAAATTAAGCTTATAAGTTTCTCTAGGTGTTCAAAAAGGCCCTAATAAAATGTTAACTCTACTTAAATTTAAAAGTTTACAAGTATTGTTTCAAAATGTGAACAAAAGGAGGTTTATATAATTATGGTGTTATTAATGTGTTCATATCTTCCAGGTATACAAGTCTGTAAGGTAAAAGCTTCAAAAGAACATTATATCAAGCTGGTGTTCTAAAGTTGTATGGTAATTTTAGGCTTAAAAAAAAATGTTGAAAATTCAATTATATCATTTGTGTTCTATAACTGAACTTGTTATCAATAAGATATGTACAGTTCCATGTTACTTTCTACTCTAAGATACAATTTATGTATTTTTAAGTTAATAAGAGCCTAATCTGTGTAAAGGTTTTATTGCAAAACACAAAAGTACATTACTACTTTTCTACAAGAGGTTAAAAGCTTTCAGCCTTTAATTCATATTTTAGGTGTGATATTATGTTGTGTTAGCTAATGTTCATGTAAACTTGAACAACAATTTATGTAAACTTTGTAAAATGATCAGCTTCAGAACTATAGTACTTGAGATTTATAAAGAGCCCTGCCTTACTTGAGATAAGGCTCTGTCCCATCTCACTACATGTGAAAATGGCTATAAAAAAAGTAAGCCAGATTTCAGTACAGTTAAAGTTGTGTCCAAAAGTAGGTTTTTGCCAAGATTACTAGGATCTCAAACAGGAAATTATGATGTATAACCCTGCCAGAATTCAAGGTAGCTATTATATAAGCTAAATATGTTTTTACCCTAGTTAGTTTTGTTTTGTAGTTTGCTTATAAATGGTTTAAGGATTGCCTATTAATATTCTAAAGAGGTATTGCTTTAAGAACACAACCTGGGTCAACATAAGATAAAAAGTTATCACCTACAGGATAGAGAGATAGACATTAAAGCCCAGTGCTCTTAATATAAGGCTGTTAATTTATTTGCTGGATGTTTAAGATCAAGTTTTTAAAATTAGTTAAATTAAAAGGGCCAAGAAAACCAATATTTGGCTCTTGCCCTCTGAGTCAGTCTGAATCAGGGAATAGGGGACTTCTCCAAAGGGCTCAGCAACTCTAGGCCACATAACCTCCTGAGCAGGGAGATTAATGAGACCAGTGGAGGACAGAAAGCCAAATGGTGCATTTGCTGTAAAGAGGAGGGTCATTAAAAAAGGGAGACATCCCTGATGCTTCTGAGGGAAGCCATATGGTCAAACAAGGCCTGGACCCATCCTAGCGCAAATGGCACTAGCAGAACTGAAAAGCTGCTATGAAGTTCCCGAGGACTCCCAGGATAACTCAGCTGACTGTAAACAATAGGTAGAAACAAAAGTCAGTTTGACTTGCTTCATCTTAAACACTTAGCAAAGACAGTCAAAGCCAAAGCACAGCTGTTCCTGGACATCTTAAATGATAATAATAGTTAAATGTAACTTCCATAAATAAATAGACTGGAGGCTACAAGAGAGATTCTTAGACAGAAATGCCTGATAACTGTCAAAGGAACTACTAGAATAGTTTTAGTCTAAGGCTTTTATTTCTAGACAACACAGGTAGACTTGATGTTTGCTAATATGGTTATCCAGCCCTAAGTAGCAGAATTAAAGATTTCTCTATTAGACACAGAGGAGAAACAAAAGGTTCTTTTGGAAGCTCGCAAAAATGTGCCAGGGAATGACGGGCGCCCCACCCAACTCACAAATTTGATTAACGAAGCTTTTCCTTTAACCCGGCCAAACTGGGACTATGCGACTGAAGCAGGTGAGAACCACCTACATCTCTATCGCCAGTTACTCATAGCGGGTCTCCATGGAGCAGGGGGGTCTCCATGGAGCAGGGCGACGGCCCACCAATTTGGCTCAGGTAAGACAGACTATCCAGGGGTCAGAGGAAACTCCGACAGCCTTCTTAGAAAAATTAAAAGAGGCTTATCGGAGGTTTACTCCCTTTGATCCTGATAATGAGGACCAAAAAGGAAACATTTAATGGGCCTGCCTTCGGCCAGGTAAGTCAGGCGGTAGCCAATACATTGAAAATTAATTAAAAATTACATTATGGTTATAGACCCCAAAGTTCAGGACAGGTAAAAAAGATAAATAGAACCATTAAGGAGACTTTAACTAAATTGACACTTGAAACTGGCACTAGAGACTGGGTACAACTCCTACCTTTAGCCTTGTATGGGGCCCAAAACACCCCAGGCCCACATGGACTAACCCCATTTAAAATCCTGTACGGTGCCCCACCTCCCGCTATTAACTTTTATAAAACTAAAACCTATGCCTCCCTCACCCCATCTATGCAGACTCATTTGCATGCTTTGCAATTGGTCCAGAACGAGGTCTGGAAGCCTCTAGCCACAGCATACAAAGAGGAACTTAAAACCCCCTTGCTGCCACATCCCTTCAAGGTCGGAGATACCGTCTGGGTACGCAGGCACCAGAGCAGGAACCTCGAACCGCGGTGAAAAGGACCCTACACTATCCTGCTGACCACTCCTACTGCACTCAAAGTGGACGGCATCGCTGCTTAGATCCATGCTTCCCACGTGAAGACTGCACATCCACAGGAGTCCGCAGACACCTCTCCGGATCCAGAATGGAAGTTGCAACGTACCCAAAATCCGCTAAAGATAAGACTCACTCGCTGTTGATTTTTCTTGTTTTGTGCTGTGTCTTCCCCATATCAGTTAACCCCAACCAATCTGTGAGCCAGACATGACAAGTATTATCGGGGACAAGAAATATAATTTAAAAACAAAAAAAAAACAAAAAAAAAAACAATGGGGCCTGAGAGTATATCATAAAACTGCCTATGACCCTGGGGTCCTATTCAAAATTAGATTAATAGTAAATACCAACCCCCAACCAGTATGCTGAGCCGTCAGCTGAAATAATGCTGGAATCCGAGCAGATGGGTCAATGGATATAAGATTATATCCATGATATAAAAAAAGGGGGGAATGAAGGACCCCAAGGCCCCAGGCCCAACATTAGGAAAACTAACCCCTGTGCCCTGAAGCTGCAAGATGTTCCATATAGATAACCCCGGAAGGGCCAAACTTGAGCAAACAGGGTAAAAACAGGAACTAAAAGGACAGGATGCAATTTTATGGTTTTTCTGAGAACTAAAGTGGGAAAACAAGTTTACCCCCCTAGGTGACTCAACTGCTGAATTCAGAGGGACCAATAGGAAGGCTGTTGCTGTGCTAAGCTAAGACCTAACCCACCTGTTCCCTATAAAAGATCTATACCCCAAAGCCCGGTGTGCCAGTTCACCGAAGCTCCGGCTGAGGTTTTGCTGTGCACCCGCAGGCGCCTGTGTGAGAATAAACGCCTCCTGCTTTTTGCAGCCAGTGTCTTGTGTGGTTCATTCCGGGTTTGGGATCTGTGGATATTTCATTATTGCCTCTTTTTTTCTGGTTGTGAAGAGATCAGGCCCTTGGTGAGGGGGAGAGACCACTTAAGAATAAACAGGAAAGTCTAAAGAGAGTAATTGGCACAGAGATAGCCCTGCAGATCTGAGCCCCCCACAGTTTGTTGCATGTGTGACACATAAACTGGGGGACACCCCATGCCCACACTGCGCCTGCCCCTCATGTCCACTGACCCATACGTGTTCCTACGGGATCCTATCAGCTGCCGCTTTGTGGGGAAGGTTTCCACCTTAGAATTCAGCACCTGAGGTCTCTAACATGGCTCAGAAGCTCAGCAAGTGCAGCGCCCAGGGAAGCGACTGTCTGTCTTTGGGCATTTGTGGGCTGCTTCCTTTCCCGTCCTCGGCAGTGCTGACCTGGGGACCCTTCCAGCCCCTCTGGTGACTCCAGGGCATGGGATGATGGAGATGAAGTGGGAAGGGAAACACTGAGGCAGATGGAGGAGGTGAAGGGTTAGAGTCAGAGCTCAGCCCAGGACCCACCCAGCCTGCTCCCATTGGTCAGCTCTGACTGACAAGCAGAGTGGCCAGTGGCCATGCCGCCCATGATGTCATCTCTCAGGTCCCAGATGGGGTCTTCAGACTTGTAGGAGCCTCTGTCTTCAAGTTCCCTCCCTGACTGTCCCTGCCAGGGTGACCCTGAGGCCTTCCCAGTGCAGCTGTCCCTGGTTGGGACTCTGAGCTCCTCCCCGTCGCTCTCCACTCACCTCCTTGCTGGATGGGGACTGTCCTCCAGGTCTCAGGTCAGGTAGCCCGATTCCTCCTGGGGAAGAATGAAGGAGTCAGGTCCAAGGTCCTTAAGTCCTGGGGACACTGAGGCCTGAAGGAGCCCAAGGTCTCACCAAGCCCCATCTCAGGGGACCCAGGGGCTGGAGGAGATGAACTGTGGGCGTCCCCTCTACTCTAGTCCTCACCATGCCCAGACCTGACTCTTAATACCAGGTTGTCTTGACATCAGAAGAAGGATGAGCAGGATCCGCCCTGGACGGTGCCCATCCTTATCCCAGTGCAGGTGAGGGTCAGACGTGCTGATGGTCTCCTGGGGGAGGGTCCAGGACCCCTGGCCACGTGGGCTCCCTGCTTCCCTCCAGCCTCCAGCCCCTGAGATCAGGAGGGGCCTGCTCCAGGAGGGATGTGGCCTCAGGTGGGTCCCCCCTGCTCAGCGGGAAGCTCTGAGACCTGGTGTCCTCTGAGCCCTGCCTTGTGGAGGTCAGCAGACCCGCCTTTCCCCCTGCCCTCCCAGGCTCCTGGGCCTGCCCTGCCCTGCTCCTCCTCCTGCGTCCTGCAGACTCTCAGTCTCCTTCCCAGCTGCCCCCTCTCTGCCCTGTTGAGGATGAGGTTCTGTCCCCACCTGGGCCTTTCCTTGTCCCATGCAGGGTGCTTTCTCACGGGGTGGTGGGGAGGGATCATTTGTGGTTGTCTCTTTATTTTTTATTGATAAAGACATTGTTTTTTACTCTTCAAAACGTCTCGTGTAACTGGCCTAGAGCAACTGTCCAGTAGAACCTTTGCAATGGTGCAGAAGGTCTGCGTCTGCATGTCCCATGTGGTGGCCACTGACCACGCGGGGCGGCCAAGCACTTGACGGATGGTGTGACTGAGGACCTGAATTTTTTGCTTATTTAATTTTAAGCCATTTTAAATTTAAAGGCCTACATATGGCTAGTGTCTCCCATATTTTTAACTCAAGCCTAGAGACCCTCCTTTTAAGGTAGTATAAATTTAACATTCAATGAAGCCAGTACTAAAATGTTTTCAAATGTTTAACATTTAAATTAGAAGACTTTTCAAATAATTGTGATCTCAAGTTTGCATTTCACTTAGGTTTAAGTTTAGCTTTAATTTGAAAATGAAGGTTTGTTCAGTGAAGAAGAATTTTGGTGTGCTGGACACCTGGGTGTATGGGAGGGTCCTTGGGGATTGAACTGAGACTGGACATGCCAATTCCAGGTGATGAGGACTGGCTGGTTGCCGTGGGTGACCAGCATGCTCTACCACACACTCCTGCTGTGACGTGCTGCCTCGCCACAGGCCCCAGGACAAGGGGACCAACTAACCAGGACTGACTTCCCAACACTGTGGCCCAACATCAACCTTCATCTTTACAAGTTGCCTCTCTCAGGTGTTTTGTTGCAGTGACAGAAGGCTGACAGTCACCATTGTCAGCATTATTACCACTGTCACCGAGAACGTCTCACTGTTACACCACAGCATCACCATGGTCAGCAGAGACACCATCATCAGCACCATTGTAACCAGCCTGGCCATCACCATCAGTACCAACATGACCAGTATCACTGCTGTTTATTAACATCCACTCCAGAGGTTCTCAACCAGGGGAATCTTGCCCTCCACATGGACTTCATGGTGCCTGGAGAGATTTTAGTGGTCTCATCTGGGGGTGGTGGTGGTTTTTATTATTGGCCTCGAGTGGGCAGGGGCCAGGGACCTACAATGCACAGGACGACCTTACCCCCACCTTGAAGAATTTTCTGTCCCTAAATGACGGTGGTGCCAAGGTGAGAAACTGGTCCACATTCTGTCCAGGACACTGGGATCCCTGTCCTCCAGCGCATGTCCAATGCCCACATCATCCTGCAGGGCAGGTGGGACTCTCAGTGTCCTCCAGGAGGGGCTGGGGAAGCTCTGGGGGAAGTGGCCTGCTCAGGGCCCCTGTCCAGCTAGTGCAGGGTGGGGTCTTGACCACACCGTCTAATCTCCCCCTGCCTGTCGACCTCTGGCCCCTGTGTCCCCACTTGCTTGGCAACGTGTGACCACTGGGTCCCTGTCACATGGTGGATGCCTGATGTGACCCTCCCACTGTCAGCCCTGGACTCGAGGCAGAGACTGAGACCCACAGTTTAAACACAGAGAAACTGGGCTGAGGAGAAGGGGTCCCTGCAGCTACCTGGAGTCGTGGCCAGCGCTCACCCCCACTGTCTCCCCCCCTCCCCGGCCTGGGTTCTGTCCACCTGCTCCAGCTCCTGGCCTGTGTCCCCTCCAGCCCTGCCTTCCCTTCTGCAGCCAGAGCTGGCCTTGAGTCCCAGCCCCGCCAGGTCCCCCCTGCCAGAGCGATGGGCACCTGTGGAGGTAGAGTTTGACCAGGCCGTAGACCAGGATCCCACAGAGGTGGCCGCAGCCCAGGGACGTCACCAAATGAGGAACACCACCAAGGGGCCCGAGATGGAGAAGCCAGGAGGAGGCGGAGGAGCAGGCGAGGGTCCTGGGGAGAGAACACCCGGGTCAGGACCCCACTCAGGCCTCATTCACCCCTCCTCCCTGGGCCCACCCCCCTCTGTGCTTCAAAGACTTACAGCACTTCCTCTGGGCACAGCACATGGTGCCTGGCCCTCTTTGGGGTGTGACCGAGTCTCCAGCCCACATCCTGCCCCTGCTCGCAGCTGGCTCTGGGGTGACCGGCTGGCAGCCCCCTGGGCCCTTCCTTGCCGTCTCACGCTGTGTGGGGACTGTCCTGACACTGCAGATGGGGACCTGAGTCTGGGAACCTGAGCTGCCTGCTCCTGCTCCGTGTGATGGTCAGGGCAGGGCCAGGATGTGACCTGGGTCTGAGACCCCAGACTCCTCCTGCTTCCTGGCCTGTCCTGGGCTCTCTGGGCCTGTCGGCCTCTCCCCTCGACACAGAAAGCTGGATGTGTGGATGGGGAGCAGCCGCCTTCCCTGTCTTAGACTCAAGTTCAGGATTCCGTGACAGGCACACAGGTAGGATGGTGGCCAGCACGGGACACGTGCTCAGTAAATGACAGCTCCCACTGTCCCCAGGATTCTCCCTGGCCCCTATGTGAGGGTCTGGAGCATTCAGAGGAGGCAGCTTTGGGCCTGGACACTGAGGACAGGGAGGACACCACCAGAAGCCATGAGCATGGGGTGGCACTGTCTAGGCACAGCAGGGAGGGGAGACCTGGAGTGGTGACCTGGGAGGGGCTGCGGCACTCACGGGGAGGCTGGATCCTGACGTCCCCGTAGAAGGCCAGCTGGGTCACCAGGTTCTCTCCGATGCATCGGTAATTGCCCATCTGCTCCCAGGCCACGAGGAAGAAGTTCAAGTTTGCATCCGAGCTCAGCAGGGAGCCGTTGTGGAGCCAGTGGTACTTGGGACTTGGGTCGGAATCACAAGAGCACTCCAGCTGCACCTGGGAGCCGATGCCAGCAGTCAGGGCGCCGTCGAAGCCCTTGAGGTTGGTGGACAGGCTCACGTAGTCAGGCCCATCTGCAGAGACAGGGCAGGAGACCTGCAGCTGCGCTTCTGCCCTCTCCAGCCATGAGGGGCCCCACTGTGTGCCCCAAGCTGGTCAGGACCCCCTGCCACCAAGCAGGGGAGCCGTGTCAGCGACTTTAGGAGCAGTGACAGCATCTGCCATCATCAGCCCTAGGGGCCCCTCAGTCCCAGGGAGATGGCCTCCAGTGACAGCGCAGGTTGGTGTGCGGCAGGCCAGGGAGTGTGCTGGTCTCTGTGCACCTCCACACGCCTGTTGAGTTCCCTCAACTCATGTGGTCAGTGCCAGTCGTGATCCATTCACAGGTGAAAATGCGACTCAGAGGAGAGGACTGGGGGTCTGAGCACCCTGGGGACACCGCAGCAGGCAAGTCGGGGGCTCAGAAGCCATCACCCCGAGTCGCTGCAGCCTGTGTGCCCTGGTCTTGTTCCAAACCTCTGACCCATGAAGGGCCACATGGAGGTGAGAAATTGCCTGTCTAGTGACTTTAGCGTCCTCAGATGGTCCCATGGCCTGCACCTTAGGAAATAGGAAGGACCACAGAGTAGTTACAGGTGGAGATGTGAATGTGATTTGGACATGTGACTTTTCCAAATGTTTTTTTTTTTTTGGTTGTTGGTGGACACAATATCTTAATTTTATTGATTTATTTTTTGTGTGGTGCTGAGGATGGAACCCAGGTCCTCACACGTGCCAGGCAAGCCCCTACCACTGAGCCACAGCCCAGACAGATGTGTGCTTGTTGTTGTGATTATTATTATTATATATTTCTGTGTTTGAAGACTGTGAGGACCTCTGGATCAGAAGTCCAGGGGACAGTCAAGATCCAAGTGTGGCATGTTTCCAAGTCCCGGGATGTGATTGACAAGAGCTGTTGGGGAATGTGAGGTCATGGGGGGCCGTGGCCTTGCCTTGGTGGGCAGTGGACGTTTCCCATGAAGGACAAGGACGTGTGAAATGCAGGAGGAAGACTTGCCTTTCAGAGCCTCTAACGCTGGGCATGGCTCCCCCCCGGCCCACAGCCGCCCTCTGATGGGTTGGAAATCCAGGCTCCTGTGGTCACAGGAGTGTCCTCAGTTCCACTGAGTAAAGGGGCCTGGAGGAGGAGGCTGGGTCTAGAGGAGAGCTGCCAGGGGAAGGCCCAGCGTGAAGGCTCCGGGTCACCAGGGCTTGGAAACTTAATCGACGGAATCACCTCAAACTGATCCTCTGAGAACCGCTTTCTTGTAAGCAGCCCCCTCTGTACAAAGCCAGAGCTCAGTGACCTCCCAGGGCCCATTTCTAATCACAGAAATGGGGACACGAGTTCCCCTTGAAAACCGAGTGCAGCATGGTGCTGAGTGGGTGCAGTTCTGGATCCAGAGCAGAAGATCCGGAGCCGGGATTCGAACCCAGACCAAGCAGGCTTGCCGGCTCTCCTGATCTGCCTGCCTCATGGCCACGTCCCAGGAAGGCCTTGCCCCTGGCCTTTCGACCCCCCCCCCCCCCAGAGCACTCACAGGCCACAGTCAGAGAGACGGTGTCACTTTTCTGAAGAATGTCTGGGAAGCTCTCGTATCTCTGTATGACGCACTGAAGAGTCCTGTCATGGCGGCTGACCCTGCGGATGACCAGCGTCCTGCCGTCTGCAGATATTGCTATGCGCTGACTGGCCGAGATGGGCACGCTGTTCCGGTACCACTCGATGTGGGAGGCGTTGGTGTGGCATTCGGCCGCCACGGAATCCAAGTTCTCCACCGCGGAGCTGGCGTTGGCCGAGATGACCGGTGGGGGCCCCAACTCTGGGAGAAGCAGGAGAAGAGGGTTAGGTGTGGGGACTGCCTCCCCAGCTCTGCTCTCCCAGGGTGGTCTTGGGGTGTGTGGAAGAGAAGCCAAGAGCTTGAGCTCAGAGGGTCGGAGAAGCAGGGCGTGGGCAACCAGCTGCCCAGGTGGGCCCCTGCCTGGGCCCCTGCTGCCCATCTGCTGCAGTATGATGAGCTCTCGGCACAACGACGGGGACTGATGGTTTTGAACCCCAAACCAGGAACCCTCATCCGAGGAGCCGTGAGAGATGGCATCCGGACCCCCATGGGGCTCCTGGTACCTGGGTCTGGTTCACTTCACAAATGCTCCCTCCGACCTACAGCAGACACATGGTGGGAATCTCCCCATGCCACGGAGGAGGACACTGGGGTCACAGAGAGAAGACACCTGGCTCAGGGCTGTGCAGCACTCTGAGTCAGAGGCAAACACAGGCTCCCTGTCTTCCACGTGGACAGTCTCCTCCCCTGGCCCTGGGGAGCCCCTGGAGCTGTCTGGTGGCCCCTGGGTTAAGCTCTGTAAAATGTCCACCCTGAAGCATGGGAGGGGCTGGTGGCTTGTGTCCCATCTGTAGATAGGTGGGGGGTGACATCCCATCACTGTTTTTTGTTATATAGGATTCCGTCTCAGCCAACTAGAGAGAGATTCCCACTGACCCTAAAGCCATATGAGAAATGCCCATGGACAGAGCCACAAGGCGGGTAATCGTAGTGTCTTCTAGGACCCCAGGGCCTCTGCTAAGCAGCCACAAGAAACAAATTCGGTCATCAGCCTGCAAGAGCCTGGACTGGCTTCTCCCCCAGCTAATCCTCTACAAGGGAACAGCGCTGGCCAGAGTCCTTTGGAGACTCAGAACAGAGACCCAGCTGAGCGTCACGTGGACCTCTGTCCAGCAGGAGCTGTGTGGTAACACAGGGGTGGCCTTAGGCAGCTGGCCTGTGGCTGGGTGTTATGCAGCAGTAAAACGTCACACTTTCCCACAGTGAAACCAGAGCCCTGGAGGTGGCGAGCGGCCCTGTGCGCAGGAGAAGCTGGGCTGCCATCGCCAAGGCTCCCTGTGCCATGCCTTCCGGAGACACTCAGACTGCATGATCTCCAAGGTGTCCCCTCCTAGAGCCCTCGGGTCCAGCTCCCATCTGCAGTGGGCAAAGGGACCACCTGCCATTCACCTAGAACCTCCAGCCAGCCAGTGGCTCTTTGGGTCCCATTGCCAGTGTCTACCCGAACCGTGTAGTTCCCCGTGTCATTTAAGGTGCACTTCCTGAAGGACAGGTAGCCTTTGCTGGTCACCGTCACCAGGTTGCTGTACAAGGGCCCAGGGACCTTGGAATCGGGGGGCCTGAAGCTGATGATCATGGTCTCCGCGCTGTCCTCTGCGCCCCGGTACCAGCTGTATTCCTGGACACCCTCGGGCACGTTCTCCAGGGCCAGGACATTCCTGTGTCTCTCAACGGCAGTGAGTGAGTCTGGGCTGATGAAGAGCGGCCCGGAGGCCTGGCGGGGCCCACAGGCCAGCAGGCTGGCTGCCACTGGTAAGAGAAGAGGAGAGACTGAGTCCTGAGCCACCAGGGGGTGGCCCCCGGAACGCTGTGTGCGAGGGAGAGCGATCCCTGGCCTGGCCCTTCCTCTCCGCTGCCCTTGGCCGCTGCCTGGTCCATTATTCCCTTCATCATCTCCTAGCCCGCCCTCCCCCTCGGTCCCTCAGCTCCCATCCACCCTCCCACGACCGTCACGTGGACCTCAACGAAGCCCAATCCTGACCCTGCTGTCACCTCCAGTGCCTCCTGTGGCCCCAGTGTTCTCAGGGTCTGACTCAGCACGTCCTCAGGACTTTCTCAGCAAGAGGTGATTAGGGGTCGCCTCCTTTGGGCCTCACCTGCCCCTCACCTGCCCCACACCTCTGCACCCCTTCAGTCCCCCATGTACTTAGTGTTGAGAAGACGTGGCTCCGGCTCTGCCCACTCACATGGGGCTCTCTGGATGCGCCGCGCTCTCCCAGTGCCAGCTTGGCCCCCACTGGTCCCCACTTGACACAGCGCCTGCTCCCGCTGCACCCTCACTTCTCGGCTCTGATGTCCCCCCAGCCTGGGTCAGGAGCCCCTGCCAGGCTCTCCAGCCCCCTGGACTTCCTTCATTCCAGCCGGGGCACTGGGTCTGTCAGGGCCTGGTGACGGGTCCCTGTGTCACCCTGTGCCTAGAGGTCCTGGGGGTGCAGGGACGGGCACGTCTCGCTGAGCCCTGAGTGTGCAGCACCCTGAGGGGAACCCGGGGTGCTCGGCAGGGGCTGTCGGGGTGCTATTACTCTGAGACGGTCCACACTCGTCCAGGTTCTCGGGAGTGGCTGTGCATGGGGTGGGACCTGTTACCACCCATGACTCTGTGCAGCCCACGCCTTGGCTGTGGAAGAGGCAAAGGAGCCTGAGACCCTGCTGCAGGCCTGGGTGGGGGCACTGGCCATGTTCCAGGCCTGCGTGGGGGGCACTGGCCATGTTCAGGGACAGCACTTGTGACCCCCAGTGAAGGGTGACCATTGTACAGGTTCAGGGCCAGAGGGTGCTGGGAAGGAGGGTTGGGTGGGATCCACCTGGGAGCTGGCGAAGGGCCAGGCAGACAGGTGCCAGGGAGAGGTGGTGGCAGGCCGCGGGTGGTCCAGGTTCAGGGCTCTGTGGTGTCGGGACTCAGAGCTGCGTGTGTCCCCGGGGCTGCATGTGCCTGCGCACGCGTCCTGCGGTCTGTGTGCGTCTGTGGCCTGTGTCTACGGTGGGGGTGCCCAGGTGTGTGAGCCCAGGAGGGTCCTGTGGGGTCCTTCCCCTCCCTCCCCACCGTCCTGGGAGTGGGGCTGGCCCTGGATGGGGAGGTTTCTGGCTCCCTCCCAGCCTGACTCCCCAGCTGACCTTCCCTGGGTCCTGGAAAACAGGTCTGGTCCCACTTACCCACAAGGAACAGGGGCCTGCAGGGGCCGCGCCTGGGGTCGGGAAGGTCCATGAACTGCTGGGGTCCCCAGGAAGAGTGTCCCCCCAGAGCCCGCAGCCTCTCTCCTCCCCCGACCTGCGTCTTCTGAGATGTGCTCTGTCCTGTCCCCTCTTCCTGGTGCTGGTCATCCCCAGGGTGGACTCTGCCCCCCAGGGCGGGAGTCGGGAAGGAGGGGCCCCGGGAGGAGGTCATTATCTTCATGGCCTCCTGTTGCCTTGAGCTCATTACTGGACTCTCTAATTTTTCCTGTGTCTATATTATATTTATGACACAGACTTGCTGCTGGTAAGCCAGGAGACACAGAAAAGCACATTAAAGTCGAGCAGAGAGCACTTTACCTGGTGTCTCCTTTCCCTTTGATCTGGGCTTCCTTCCAGGGCTGGGCCCACGTTTTCGGTGTCCTCTCGGGTTCTGGCCGGCTGCTCTGGCCCCTCCACCCTGTTCTTCCCTCCCTGTGTGGGGGCAGTGGACGTGTTCAGGGACAGCATTTGTAACGGCCAGTGAAGGGTGACAGACTTCCTTCCCCAGGGCCGTGTGGATGGCTGCAAGGTGTGCGTCAGACACCCAGACCCAACTCAGTGCAGGTGCGTTCCCTGCCAGGGGACCACAGGGTGGGGGTGGTCCCGTGGGTCACCACAGGGCTGGGACGCTCTCATTGCCTAGTGACCGTGCGGCCATCACCACCTCCTACCACAGGGCATTATCCACGTTTGTGGTGGGGCCAGTGTAAACCAGCCCACGTCCCGAAAGCCACCCGCAAGCCAGGTGACATATAGTGCATGGTACAGAGGTGACTGACCCTGTGTTGGGGCTGACGTGTTCCCTGTGCTCAACTTCACATCGTCATTTCAGCCTGCACTTCCACTTACAAAAAACTGACTCCCGTGGGGCAGAATGCCCCTCACGCCTGCAGCCTCCCAACGGCCCAGGTCCTGTGTGTCTTGACCACATCATTGTCTTTCTTTGTTTTTTTTTCCTTTTGTGTGTGTGTAATTTAATCTGATGTTTTGTTTATAGTGACCCTAGAAGCAATAAGCTCCATATATACAATGTCACTTGTTACATATAGTGTTTGTGTGCATGTACATAATGTAACTGTTTGCAGTCCTGGTGTATCTAGAGGAACTTGTTACACATAATATAACTTGTTCTATAATGTGGATGAGTGTGCATGAGTGTGTGTGTGACTAGGCAGGTCATAGGCTACACCATGTGGGTGTTTGTGAGTGCACTCTACGCTGTTCACACTGTAACAAACTGCCCCGGGACACATTTCCCATACCTAACTGGGTCCTTAAGCAATATGGGACTGGATGCAAACAGGGTACAGGAACGGGATGTCCCTGGTGACGGATGGTTGTCTGAGAACTTCAAAACCCCAGGATTGCACCGTGCAGAGGGAAGTCTGTGGCTATGTTGGTGACACATATCAGCACCCAGTTATCAAAATCATGAACTCCCAAACCTGGCTCTAAAGTTGTTATAGTCCAGGGTTTAAATCTTGTTATTGTTCATAAACCTTACAAACTCTGATCATCACAGGTGGACCACATGAATCTCAGCAGGCATCATCCAGAAGATGCCTCCACCCTCAGGAACTCACGCTCCTTCCTCAGGGGACCCCCGACTGGGCCTGGCCTACCCCTTCTTGGATTCTCCATGACTTGGTCTGTGTCATCTGAAACCTGTCCCTTTAGTCAGGAGTGGTGGCATCCAGTGACCACCCAGGGACAGGTGGGAACTTGGTGAGAAGCCCCAAGGAAACTTTAACCTCCTTCTGGGGTCTAATGCTGTTCCTTCTTGTTTATCAAAATAGCAAAACGTCACAGTCCCTCCCAGGGCAAAGTGCGGCCCAGCACAGCCAGAGTGGACCTGCTGTACCCCTGCCCCTCCCTGTTATCAGGCCTGCAGCCTACAGGAATGGTAACTCGTGATATCTGGGGAGAGGAAGGCAGGGGGTGTTCTTGCCTCCCCCCACCTTTCTGGAAAAGCCCCGTCACCCCCAAAGCCTCACACCACCAGGTGAAGCCGGGTGTTAGGGGAAACAGCCTCCTTGACCTTGTTGTGCATCCTCCTGGGAGGAATTCCTCCTGGAGCAGGAATTGGATAAAGATGGGGAGAGTCAGGAGCCCCCAACCAGCTTTCAGAGAAGACGAGGAACAGGGGACAGTAGAATAACATCACCAACCACAGCATTAACAGCACCAAGTGTGCCCTGTCACTCTCTTTCCTCCTTAGTGAGACTGTAAGTCTTGAGGCAGGAGAGTCTCTGGCGGGCAGGGTCAGAGCCAGGCAGCAGGAAGCACTGGGTGGAAAAAGAGGATGGGTCCCGGGAGGCAGAGCTGAGCCCTGTAGCCCTGGGTGGGCAGCAGAGGGGCCCTCACCACAGTACTCACCTGCGTTGGGTGCACAGGGGGCTCCGCTACAGAAGGAAAGCTGCCAGATCTTTCTGTGGCCCCAGGTCCTTGTCTTAGAGTGGACACCTCGGCCAAACCTTTATAAACCCGAGATCTGAAACTAGGCAGAATGAAGTCAACGACCAGAGGAACAAGAACCAACAGCAGCGAGGAAAATCGAGGGGGAGACGGGCCTTCTTCATGGACACCTGGAGTCCGTCCACCAGAGCCACGTCTACCGCAGATGTCCCAGGCAAGAGATTGGTGCATTTTTTTTTTCATTTAAAAAAGCATAAAGTCATAATGGACGGGTGACAACTGGGACTTTTGTGAGAACATTGATTCCATGGTGGTGGTTCCTGGACCTGGCGCACACATTGTGGGAGAGGCTGCGACAGCAGATGTGGGGTCCAGGAGATGAAGATCCAGAAACAGCAAATGTCCAAGGGCAGCTGAAGGTCGTAGCATGCCTGTCCTGACAGGTGACAGTGACATGTCCACACCAAACCTGTCCCCATCTGACCAGTGGTGTTGTGCCCCTGGAGACCTCCAGTGGGCTCTGTCCAGGAGATGGGGGTCTGGTTTGTGCCCATGTGCTCTGTTTTACCTGCTGGAAGCTGTTTTTCTATGGGCGACACGTTTTCGATGATTACTAAGAAGAAACTCCTGAAACCTACCAAGGCTTGGCTGACTCATGCTCTGTGAGCCTGCAAGTCTCCATGACTCACCACAATCTCTCTCTACTTCCCTTTTGAGCTTCAACTTCCTGGGAGCCATGCAATAACCTCAGCACAGACAGGAAGGAAGGAGACAGTGTTGGTTTTATTTGGCACACTCCACAGAAGTGAATCCAGACTGCATTTGTGCTGGGTGTGGGGGCGCACACCTGTAATCTCAGGCTCTCATGAGGCTGAGACAGGAGGATCACGAGTTCAAAACCAGCCTCAGCAAAAGTGAGGTGCTAAGCATCTCTGTGAGACCCTGTTTCTCAATAAAACACAAAATAGAGCTGGGGATGTGGCTCCGTGGCCGAGTGCCCCAGAGTTCAACCCCAGGTATTGTTGTTCATTGCCATCAGGAATTGAGTTTTCAACTGTAGCCCGACTCTCCTCTCTTCTCCAAGGAGCATTTCAGAACAAATCTTACTCCTTTTCACAGCAACTTGACACTTCTTCTGAGAATTGTCTCTGAACAAAATTGAAATGCAAATGTTTGTATTTTCTTTATGCCTAAAATAAATCAACTGCATGTCTTCATGCCTTGGAGGGGTCAGGGTTGTGGAACTGGGTTCCCTTCCTTGGATATTGTCACTGGGCTTAGCATGTGTGTGACCAATGCGTGTGTCCCAGTGTGTGCATGTGCTTTTCATTCTAAATACTAGGTCAGTTTTCCTTGAACACAAGTTTCCAATCCTCCTGGAAGATGTCTCCAAAATTAAACCCATAGGAGAATTTTAAAGTCACAATGAAAAATATCCTCAGAATGGAATGCAAATATTTTTTCATGGTTAGACATTGTTATTAAATACAAATAGGTGATCCATATAACAGTCAGATTTAGTGTGCTAGGGGCATATCTCTGTCATGAGAGTGAGTCTGCCTCTAACAGGTAATGCAATTGAGAATTGCTATTTATTCTCTGACCAATGATAAACTTGAACATTCATCCAGGACCGTTGCTGAAAAGCCTTTAGCCTAGCTTCTCTCAGAGACCTGGCCCATACTCCAAATCAGTCCTTTAATTTACTTTTTTACTTGCTAAGATCCCAGATGCACACTTGACTTCCATTTTTGAGAGAATAAAGTGAACAGCTCAATTCTTCTCCAAATGCTTGGCCCCAGACTGAACAGGAGGAAAGCACCAGGAAGTTCCAGTAGAGGGCGTCCTAAAGTCACCTGCCCCTGCAGCTCAGAACCACCCAGGCCAGCCCAGCCCAGGGAAGCCAGGACACAAGGCTGAAGGCGATGTGGCGTCCTGTGGGGCCAGGGAGGAGGGCAGTGGGCAGCACAAATCAGCTATGGACTTGACTCATCGGTAAAGGACCAATAATGATTTCTTCACTGTAACCCATGTTCCATGCCAAAGTGAGATGTCCATCACAAGGGAAGGGGCGGGGCGAGGGGAAGGTCTGGGGCTTCCAGTGTTCTGAGAGCCAAACCAGCTCTGAAAATGAGTCTACTCTGCTTTAATTTAAATCAGATGGATTTTAAACTGCTACCTAAAACATAAAACTGAGGACACGGATGGGAACCACGTGCTGTTCAGCACCTGCAAACGCTGCATCGTGTTGGAGACGGCCAAACTCAGCTCCTGGGACACTCAGCAGAGACCCCCGTGTGGGAGGAGGGGAAGGACACATCCACATACTGTTAGGCCAGCCCTTGGCTCAGGCAGGTGACGTATGAAATCAACCCCACAGAGAAGACCTTCCTGGGCCGCCCTGTCCACCATCACACCCAGCTCGGGGCAGAGGTTTGCGCTGAGGATGGAGGAGGCAGGACCCTTCTCCGCCCTGGCAGTGGGCAGAGCAGTGCACCAGTGGGTCTGTGTGGCGAGGGCCCTCTTGGTCCACGTGGCCCCTGCTCACAGTGGCCTCCCGTGGTGGGAGGGCCAAGGTGCTTCTCTACTCCAAGGACAGTGACCCACTCAGGAGGGCTCCACTCCCGAGGCCCCACCCCTGAACTCCATCACCTCAGGGTTAGGACTTCAGCACAGGAACAGGT